GGGGCTCACAGAGTGATGATGGGGAAACCTGGCAGCAAGTTTTAATCAGAGAAACTGGTAGAGCTGCTAATAAGCTGCAGGATTAATAAATGCACACTTGAACGTGATGTGCTGGAGGAGAGCCAGCACAGCTTTTCCTAAGGAAGCCAGGACTCGTGAGTCTCACAGAATTGGTGACAGAAGCACGAGGCCAGTGAACTGGGGTCGTCTGGCTGAGAGGAGCACACACAGGCTTCCAGAAAGCTTCCAGTGACGTAGGAAAAAAGATTTTGGTACAGAAACTGAGGCTAAAAGGGATGGCATCCACATGGTTAAACAACAATTTGCAACAGTTAAAATGGAGGAAGCAGTGGGGTGGTTAGCAATTGGTGAGTGGTTTTCAGAGTTTACCTAGAAGTTTACTGTTGGGGACCACTGGGGATCTGTGATGGGAGCAGTGCTGCTCATAGGGAGCAAGGCATGAGGATCTGAAGCTTGCTGCTGCACTCCACAATTAGTCAGGGTGGACGCAGGCTGATTGTGGAAAATTTGCAGAAGGATCTTATGATGCTGAAGGACTCTGCAGCAAATTGCAGTTAAAACGTGAGATTGATGAATGCAAAATAATGCACATAGAGGGGAAAAAAGCTTAAAAGTTTGGACTTCATATTACCATTTAGCACTCGGGAAAGGGATCTCTGGATAATTACGAGTGCTCCTATGAAATGATTAATTCAGTGCTTACAGTGATAAAAAGGCAAGTAAAGGCATCAGAATGAGGGAGGGGGAAAAAAAAAAAAGAGAACAATGCAGGAAGTATGATGACACCACTGATAAACCTCTGGTGCAGCCAGATCTTGAATATTTGTTCTAGTTCTGGCAATTCTACCTCAAAAAAGATAGAATTGAGCTAGAAAACATTGTCAAAGAACAGCTTCAGTATCAGCAAAAGTGTAAACGGTCTAGGATGCTTCCACTTGGGGCAGGGAGGAGGGTGAATGAAGGGGTGTATGAATAGATTCATGAAATCACAGAAGGTGTAGAGAGGCAAGTGATTACTCGCTGTTCCTCACAATATCATACACCAATTCAATTATCAGGCAGAATTTTGAAAACAGACAGAAGGAAGTACTTTACAGTGCTCATAATTAAATTGTGAAGCTTATTACATAAGCTGCTGTGGAGACCAAGAGTATAAATGGGTTCAGGGAAGGACCAACACATTCCTAGAGTAAAGAGACATTGCCATTACAGGCTATTAAGCACAAAAGTCTGGAAGCAGCCTCCAGCTCAGGAAGTCCTTAAACTACTGATTACTGGAAGCTGGGACTGGAGTATGTCAGGGGAAGGATCACTCAATTTGTGCCAGGGTTTCTCTAAACAGCTGCTGCTGGCTGTTGTCAGAAGTGGGATACTGGACCAGACAGATTATTTGATTTGACTGAAGTTGGCTCCTTTTGTATTGAATGCAAAAAATTTGGGAATCTTGGTGTTGCAGTGAAACAGTTGTTGCCCCATGGTCAGCTCGAAAGGAGAATGCTGTGTGCCCAGAAGGCAAGCTGGGAACAGCAGGTTGCAGGAGCACTGTGCAGTCATCAGAGGTGTGTGGGGAAAACTTAAAATAATGCCAGAGTTCAGCCAGTACATTTTGTTCATGACTTTCATAAGACCAAATTGCAGGAGTGAAAACCACCTCCAAACAAACTCAGGCACTTATGAATTGTTCATACAGTGTGCAGGTATTGTCTGGCCTTGTACGGGGATTCTCAAGTTGTGGTTGGCAAAGCTGAGAGCTGGCAGGCGTAGGCTTTATCTACATTGAATAGGAAAGAAAAGTAGACCTGTTGTAGCTTAAATACTGTTATACAAATGACTGCCCTTTTCTTGGTAAATATCTAGATTAACTTTGAGAGTTAACTCCCAAAAATCTCTCTCCTGGCAGATGTCCTAGCTATAGATCTGTGGAAGCCAGTGTGCCTTTTTATGATCTCTCAACCTCGCAGCAGAGAGACTATCCCAATGGTAACTTATGCCCCTATGAAAAGGAGAGTAACAACCCCAGGCTGGAAAAGCAGCAACTCCAACGCCAGTGACAACTAAAATGATGCTCAAATCTGTTAACTATGTGCAGCACTAATTCACTCTTTCTTTTCCAAATAGATTTTTCTAACACTTAAATGAGCTGCATACTATTGACTAGTTGTCTTTTGTGGTCTTTGAGGATTCAGGCATAACTGTTCAGTCTAAGCAACTCATTGGAGGGTTTTTATATGCCTTAGGTAGAGGAAAAGGTTCAGTAAAGCCAAAGCTTGGGATATAAACTCAAATCCCCCCTAATCAAATATGTATCCTTTGATCTAATAAGTAGGTTGAGTCTCGCCTGACTTTTCAGCAAAATGAAAATGTAATGCTTTTTTTTTTTTTTAAAAAAAAAAAAATCAGTTACTATACTTGAATAACTTGAATGTCTGATTGTGTTTGGTTTCCAAGACAGTCAACTGCTCTGTTGAAGAATTTCCTTAATGGTATCAACTATGAGAATTAGTATCAGATATTTTTGTTTGTGTATATTTAATGACATACACGTGTATGTGCACCTGTGCTTGTTCACAGTGGTGGTGTGTTAGCTAAGTTGATAATAACGTCTATGACAAAGTACTGATTACTGGATATGAAAAAGAATTATCAAAATGCAGCTCATTATTTATGATGCGACATTTCCTTGCGGTTTGTTGCTACATCAGCAAGCTAGCTGGTGTGCCCGTTTTAACAAAGCTGTGGACTTCATAGTGTGAAGAACAGAATTTATCACGAAAGCACAGATTCACTTTTTCTGGCTGTCTCTTATCAGAGGAACAGTCATTACTTTTGTTTCTATGGGAAAGGCTGCCTGTTGAGCCTGTGTTTTCATTCATGCACTCAGCACAGTGGAGATGAAATTGCTGGGAAAGATAACTAAAAGCCACTCGTGTTACCTTGCTTTTGGAAAAGTGCCAGATGGTGTAATCTGCTAGTTAAAGTAATATGAGATATGATCACCTGGATACTCAGCATCTGTTCTGTTATCAGATTTGTGCTGCCTTCCCTTTCCCCCTAGTTTCCCCTCTCTCGTCTTCCTTACACTTATTAGAAGGCCATGTGTTTGCTCTTTAGCCTGACCTCCTGTTTTTTAATGGGAGAGGATTCTGTGGTGCACGCAGTGTGTTTTGATACTCTGTGTCTCTGTTCTGATAAGAAACTGTCTAAAAGTAGGCATTTTTAGCTTGCCCCTGAGCCTAAGGTCGCTTCTAGCTGGTTCATGCACAGTTGCAATCCCTGATATAATTTTAAGGCTTTTATGTTAAAATAAACCTGAAAAAAAAAGGTGTTATTATCATGCCTGTGTTTTGTGTGCTTTCCAGACAAAGCCATAAATCCAGCTTGGCATGCAGAGGAAGGGCAGGCCGTTGGCACAAAACTGTGCCAAATCTCCCCCACAAGGCTCATCAGCCTCGGCTCGCTTTTGAAGGAATGTGGGCCAAGTCTCAGGTTCTGCTGCAGGAAGCTTGCACATCTCTGATTCTGACTTGAAATAGTATCCAAGGTTTGATGCTGAGACGTCTGCAGCCATTCATTAGGCATATTTACCTTCTAAGCCTCTGCTGAATTCGTCTTCCAGCTGGAAGCCTTGTCCTCAGACCGGTCAGATAAATTTGTTCCTAGGAATATTCATCGCAGACTTTGCTTTAGTAAATTTGCTTAGTGGATGCATGCAATTTTGCAGGCTGTATTGCTTGACAAGTAATAGGCTGTGAGATGTGTTGGCTGAAAATGTTGGCATTTTTCATCAAATAATTAATTGCTAAAGCTTTATTATTCAGCCACCTTTGCTGAAGTACTACTTTGCACAAAGTGGATGCTACCTTCCTCTCTTATGAGGGCAAGACTAAGTAGGTTTGCTTTACCACTGTCAGTGATGCAGGGTGGAAAATGTGATACTGCCTCGTTTCCACCAAAACAAATTACCATGCTATAAACCATGAATAGACACAAGAATGTACTCTTGTATATAGGAAGCACTAATAACTAAATTGATACCCAAAACAGCACGGAAGGAGACTGCCAAATATTGGACAGTTTTCTGGAAAAGTATATTTAAAAAAATAAATAAATTGTAGTTTCTTGTGGTTTTTTTTTTTTCTTTTAAGGCCTTAATCTCGTCATTGAGAAGATGTGTAGCTTATGTTGTACTGACATATACAGCATAAAATCTTTCTTACTAAATTGTTTTCTTCTGATACATTGCCAGGTAGTGAAAGTGTTTTCCTTGGGCTCCTTCCCTCTAAAGGGTTTTTGTCAAATGCAAAATTTTTTGGAAAAAGCCCTTAATATTAATGTCTTGCCCAGTTATTAAGTGGAAGGGGGTCCTTGGATGATCAGAGGCTGATGTTAACATTTGGGGTTGTTCACGCTACCCACAGGAAAGGGGATTTAAGAGATTCTGATTCAGACCACTCAATTTTTCCAGATGCGCTGTGAGCAGTGAGGCTTTCAAGCTCCTTTACTGTGGATATATATTGCACTGTATGTTTTCGGGACAGTGAAAAGATTTATTTAGCATATGGCTGACCTGAATTGTCATCGCTGGTTCAATTGACCTTTATTGCCTTGGGACAGTGGTAAGATTAGTAGATGCTATAAATATCTGTTGCACTGTGGGAGTGGTATCACAAAAATGCACTTAACACAAACAGACTGTCATTTCACTTTGTGGGGGATGAATGTATTTGGCTTACAAAAGATCATCTCTCCTTGAGATGTTTTTGTCCTCTTCTGAATCATTGCAGCTGAATCTGTGAGATTTGGCCACTGCCATCAGGTGCTACAATATACAACGCAATAATGTTATGAAGTTTTATGAAACCTACTGTCCAACTGCAGCTGAGCTTTGTATCAGCAGTGTACTGTGCTTCCACCTGATGGCTCGCTATTCGAGGCTGATCTGGCGGGGGTGGGTGCCTCTAGGGAAGCAGGCAGTGGAGATGCCCTCTGCACTTGTGGAGCTCCAGAAGGGTTTCTGGTCAGCATCTGTGAATTTTGGAGGCCATATCTATGCCTCAAGAGCTGTGAGAATGACTTTGGACCAAAAGGTTAGAAAGTAAATATAAGAAGAAAGAATCTGTAATACCCTGAGGGATGCTGATACGATCAAAAAAAGGTGGTAGTGTATGACTTGCCTTCCTGACTAAGTGGTTGGCCCCATGTCTTGTTTTACGTAGTTGGATGCTGTATAGATGACTTTTCCCAACCTATAAACTAAGTACAAGCAACAGATGTTGTGCTCTTTGTATAAACTCATATTTCATTCTTCCAATAAAGGCTATTTGGAATTATGCATAAATTGATTCAGCAGGTTCAGCTGGTATGTAAGGAATAGGTATAACGAGTGAGGACTCCACTGAAACTGGTAAACAGAACCGTATGTAGTTCACGGGGTTTGATATTTCAACTTAGTGCCAGATGAGTAACTGATCTTCATTAAACAGTAATTTTCAGTGATCAGATTACTTTATTCTTTTCCTAAACTGCTTTAGAAGGAGATGGCATTCAAGCACCATTTCACCCAAGCTGAAATTAGATGCCTCTTCTGATATCTGGATAAGGGTGGGGTGGATAATTATATTGCTTAATTATGTTGTATATACACTCCATTTATTTGTTTTATGTTTTGTTTTTTGTTTTTTTTTTTTTCTTTTCAATTTGCAGGAAAGCAATCTCCAGGTCAGGCCTCCAGCACTTGGCTCCTGTGCATTCCCTCAACATTTCAGTCTCCAATGGACCTGTGAAGGAACCAAGGGCGGCCTTAGAGTGGACTGTAGGTGTTTGGTTTTTTTGGTGGTTAATTCAAGTCTTATTTCTAGCTAGTGCTCTCTCCATCTTTAAATCAACATAAGACGTGGTGTTGCAATCAGGATTAGTGCTGGTCATTAGAAATGTGCTTCTATTATGGAATGAAGTATAAGGCAGAGACATGAAAAGTTGGGGAGATTTGAGCCGCGCAGGACAGAACTGCTCAAATTTTGCAGCTTGGGAACTGTCTGGCTACATTTGCTCACTGCCTTCTTGACAAGGTCTGCCATCTAAAGATGATCTGTTTTTAGCACAGCAGGGTTTTGTACCTCTGCTTGATGATCCAAAATTTAACGCTGAAGACAAATGTTGAGTCGACTGGCTCTGTAGAGTAGTAGTAGAAATCTTTGGTCACAATGCTTTTATGTATGGCTAGATTTCTTCTGTCTTGTAGGCACAGACAGCATATGTTTCCATCCCTCCCATCTTGCTGCTTTAATTTTTCTGGGATAGTTCAGAGGGGGCCAGTTTGGGACTATCTAGAACAGAATAGAATAGAATATTTCATTGGAAGTTACCTACAATGATCATCTCGTCCCACTGCCTGACCGCTTCAGGGCTGATCAAAAATTAAAGCATGTTATCAAGGGCATTGTCCAAATGCCTCTTAAACACTGACAGGCTTGGGGCATCGACCACCTCCCTAGGAAGCCTGTTCTAGTGTTTGAGCACCCACTCTGTGTAGAAATGTTTCCTAATGCCATGTCTGAACCTCCCCTGACACAGCTTTGAACCATTTCCATGCTCCTTCCATGTGGTTATGCACTGGTATGTGCTAAGAAGGAGAGTCTTAAGCCAGGACGTCACGCAAACATCCCGTTAAAAGCAAAGCATACAGTAGATCTTACACTCAACTGTTAGTAAAGAACTCAGTACATTGCAGTGTCAAAGCAGCAGCTACCCAAATGGCTTTTAGGTGAAGATAACTTACGTTTTGATGAATATGCCTTATGTTTATCTCTGTTCTCTATAACAAGACTGAATGCCTTCCTAGATGGCGTGTTCTGCTTTGACCCAAGCTGTTAAGGCGGTGAAATTTTACAGGCTGTGCTACAGGAAGCTGGATTAGATTCACTGTGATGTGACACAGTACTGTACTTTAACACAGAATGTTAAAATGAGTTTGAAAGCTTACACAGAATCTTTGTGGAAGAGCTTTGGAGAATACCATGATCTTTCATTCCAGGAAACCCAGGTCCTGATTCTACTTTGAGTCATCAATGCTGTTTAGTAGAAATCTGAATTAAACAGTTTTCAAAATTGTGCTTAGAAAACAGCAACAAAATCTAAAACAAAAAAAACCAAGCCCAACAACCACAGCTTAGTGCTCTGCAAAGTCAATTGTCTGCTACTCAATTTACCAGGTGGTTCCTTGTGTGAGCCCAATACCTATGTACGCAGGACTTGATATAAGTTGGTGAATATTGATTAAAAACGGTGGGTTTTAATTGTGCGTGTGTATGGGCAGGTGTTTTGGCACTTTACTTCCTGGCTTATGGTTTAGATTTTTGATCATTTCACTTTCTCAGTTGTTGCAGCCTCTCAGATTGGTGGTGCTGCTTTACTTCACAGTTTGATTGGAGAAGGGAGGCAATCCCATGGTGTGGGGAAAGGAGCAGGATAGTGAGTGGAAGACATCTGTTGCTGGGAGGAGCCTGAACTGGCCAGCTGTAGTAACTGGTGAATATGGGGGGAGAAAGGCATTTCTCAAGTCTGAGACACAGTAAAAGTGATAACAGGGAGGTGGTTTGGAGGTATGAGGAAGCTGAAATGACCAAAGTTTATAATGAGTATTGAAGATCAATAAAGAAAAAAGTTAAGTTTTAAATACTTGTTTAAGTATTTAAGATGTTTAAGTCCAGATGTGTATTTGGTAGAGTGAAAAGGCATTTAAATTTTGAAGTGTTGGAGCCAGACAGGAAGTCTTTGGAAGGCAGCATTAATCAGTGTGTGTTGCATCCCCAATGACATCATCCTGCTCTTCAGTATTTCTGAGGATGATTCTTCAAGGATCCATGGTGGGAGATCTTTCCAAAGTCTCTGACATGAGCATAAGTTGTCACTTGACTTTGCAGTAGAGAATATTTTTTCCCTGTTGTCTTCACAGTAACAACTGGAAAGAATTCCCTGGCTATAGTCTCCATTTTTGATAACTCCTTGCAGGTGATTTGCTGTTATCAGATGGTCTTGTGAACAGGACACTGATTCAGAGAGTGGGATTTCCATTCCCTGCTCTGCCACTTACCTCATGAGTGAGCTCAGACAAGGTTGGGCCACTGCTGAATGGTGCAGGGGACGTTGGTGACAGAACATGGAAAAAATAACGTGCTGAATGCTTTTTATTTACCTCCATTTTTACTGGTAAGACCTGCCTTCAGGAATCCCAGGCCCCTGACACCAGTGACTGAAGCAAGGAAGACTTACCTTTGTTAGAGGATGATCAGGTTAGGGACTGCTTAGACTGAACATAGAGAAGTCCGTGGGACCTGATGAGGTGCACACAAGTGCTGAGGGAGCTGGATGATACCATTGCAAGAAGAGTCCATTGTCTTTGAAATGTCATAATGATCAGAGGAGATTCCTGGGGACTGCAACAAAGCGAATGTCAATCCTGCCTTCAAGGAGGAGGATCCAGGGAACTACTGACTGATCAACTTTACCTTGAATCCTGGGAAGGTGTTAGAGCAAATCCTTCTGAAAGCTATTTCCAAAAATATTAAGGATAAGAAAGTGTTTGTTACGGAGAGGAAATCATGCCCGACCAACCTGACAGCCTTCTATAATTAAATGACTGGCTTGGTAGATGAGGGGACACCAAAGGCTGTTATGTTGACTTTTACAAGGCTTTTGACACTGTCTCCCATAATATCCTTGTAAACAAACTGATGGAGTATGGGCTACATAAATAGACAGTGAGGTGGCATATACCAGTGAGGTATTTATGATCAGTGAATGTGACTTTGCAAGGAGTCTGTTGCATTATATTCTGTGTCTTTTTGTCATTAGTCAGTAGTGCTGTCCACTTACTTTCGTGCACGGTGTTTGTAAGTGCCTAGTGATACACTACACTGTAGATAATTAATGTGCATGTTAATACACTAATATGTGTTCTGCATATGATGAAATATTTCCCTGATCAATCTAGATAAATGTATTTCTTTTCCATGAGGACTGTTTGGCTTCTGTATCATCAATTCCTAAAAGCTATAATAATTTTTAAACTAAAGGATATTTTACTTCCATTAGAATGTCTTCAAGACTGTTTTGCAGTTGGGAACTGACTGTTTAGTTGAAGGGATGTACATTATCAGATGCTCAAATGAGAAAGGAGAACGCTGGAGTGTGGGTATCCCATTGGTCACATAAAAACATGTAGAGGTGCTCGGAGCTTTAGTTCCACTTAAATAAGTAATGGTGAGCTCAAGCTCCATGCGTACTTAAAAACTGCTGAAATTTTGTGCGCAGATGACACTTGAAGCAACGTGTTCAGGACCAGTAGTCCTACTTTGCTGTTTTGTTTTTCATCAGGGTTTGAGAACCAATATTCTTTCCAGATCTAAAGAGAAAAAAGAGGTCTGTCATATTTCAAAGTGGTGGCCTTTTTTTTTTTTTTTTTTTACAGCAGTATAGAGGATGCAGTGATATTATAGAAGGTGCCCTTCCTGAAAAATTAGGTATTTTTCCCATTGCTGCCAAAAAGACTGAAGTTAAGCTGTTGTCAGCCAAAATACTGGTTCATGAGAACACAGGAAATCATCATGTCAGCTGATAGCATCTGGACATTACTCCTCCAGGAAGATAAATGTTGTTATTCTGCATACAGATGATCTTTCAGACAATGGTAACGAGGATCTCCAAAGCTCAGCAGAGAATACAGGAGTGGGCAGCTGATGCAGGGATGTTAGAAAGCATGATGGGGGAGACGAGAACGGCAGAAAAAGCTAGACAATGTGGTGAACCTAGGCCTAAAAGTTGAACACCTAAAAATAGTTCTGAAAGTTGGAGCCTACATACCTTCAAGTTTTTTGAAGTGAAGTTGTAGTCCCATATCTCCATCATGTGAAGTTTTGTTTATGTCCACGTATTACATTTTTAATAATTAAAGAAAAGGTGATTTCTATATGAAGAATATTCCCAAATTAAAATATGCTATGGTGGAATTAAAATTGAGAAGAACATTTGGGATATTGCTATTTTTTGCAACATGAGCATTACAAACTCTGGAATTTCGGAGTTAAGGGTGAAACAGAAGCCAAAGATGAAAGACGTTTGGGAGAGAGACATCCAAACAAATTTGTTTCTGCTCAGTAGTGACCTCATGAAGAAAAGGGCTAAAGCTAACAACTTTTACTAAACATACAAATATGTTTAATTAAATTTAGATTGATGAGCACTAGTTTTACAGTAGCCATAAGTTTATCACCCAAATGTATATTTGTAAGAAGATTCATTTGTCTCACTGGATTGTTAATAGAGGGAAAAAATTCTTAGTGGCTTATTTTAGAAATCTGTCTTACATAAGTTTTTGCAGAATGCCAGTCATGGCAGGAGTGGAGGAGAGCTCCATTTCTCCCATTGCAATTGGAGATACAACTCCTTTGAACTAGAAAGTTAGGCTGACCGGTGTATTTGTTTGGCTGAATATCTATAGCTGCTTGACATGGCAAATTAAATTACTCAGACTTATCTGCATTGCTTTTGAAATCATGCTGACTGCAGCCTGAAGAACAGTGCAGCATGGAGATACTTAAGGCCTTTAGAAAAATGGTAACACTTGCTCTGTCATTTAGCTATGCTGGGGCATTTAAGAGAAGAAACCTAGCTGAATTAGTGAAATGTGCACAGCAAGTTATGCTCACGCATATGTAATTACATTGTTCCCAAACTCCTAGTCCTTGAATTCCTATTTCTCTTGCACTTCAGGGGGGGCTGTGTGGTGGTTTTTTTTCATATGCAAGGAATGTTTGCTACACTGAAATTATTTTTGTTTGCTATTAAGGTTGTAATGGATCAGGAGCAATCAAATGGGAGGTCTCCATCTGGGAGAGCATATTGAGTTCGTGTGTCCCCTGTGAGGCACGCTGCATCTGCCAGGAAATCACTGCTGCCTCCACTTCAGTGAGCATGGGCTGTCTTCACAGGACACTGAGTTCACACACTTGCAAGGGCTGGGAAGCCAGGCGAGGAAACAGAGTTCCCAATTCTCTTTTTTAACTGCAGAATATTAGACTGCAGTCATTCCTGTTTTATTCATGAAGATGGACAGTATCCCTTTTCTACATAGCAAGTCAAAGCAAAGCATGTCAGCCTAAAAGCATGATTTGACACATCAGCTAAGCTGTTGTAACACTGAGTTGGTACCAAAAGCATTGGTCACGCTGAACCCACCTTTAACCCACCACTCCTTGTGTCAGATCCAGCAGTTACATGGTCACAGAGTGAGTCATTTTGTCTAGCTGATTTGGTAGATAAGTTATCTTATTTTTTTCCATCCGTGGAACTGATTCACGTGTAGCTTCACAGCTGCTAAATCCGGCATGAGGGAAATGGCAAGAGTGTGAGACTGAGGTCTAAGGGGTCAGGGACAGGACGACTGCCTATATAGTAGCTGTTTACTCCTAAAGCCAACATAAAGACATAAGTGCAAAATGAACCAAACTGGCAAATTATTTATGAAAAGGTTGCTGAACTCAAAACTCCTGTGGAAAAATATCTGTGTCAAAATATACAAGTGATGATGTAGCCTTTACTGTGCTTTGGATTTCTTAGTTTAAACTTTTTTGAGTTTAAACAGAAGCTCATGCTAGAGGTGATCTCAGTGACCTCTGTCAGCTTGTGTGTTGGTAGATGGTGTACCCTTTTTTCCAGCACATTGTGGAATACTGCCTGTAAATTTTGGAGTAGAAAATACTGATTTATGGAAGTCAAAATTCTTCATAGATATGTATTGATTTTTGACAAAATTTCCTATTAGAATTGAATGTAAAATTGGACTTGGAAAAGGTCAAAACGTTTTCCTTTGACTATATCACCTTGATTTTCGTAAGCGGCAACAGAATATCTCATCATATAAATGACAGTGCCCTGTAAAATTTGAAACAGTGAAGTTCAAATAATTCCCTTTGACCTTATTGAGGCAAAGTAATTGACAGGCAAGGCTTTTTGAGGGAGGGCATTTCATCTTGGGAAGTCTCAGCTCTTTGCTCTGATTCAGGATGAGGGAAGATTTTTTTTTCAAATGTCAGTTTGCTGGAATTGAAATTGTGAGTTTTCACACACAGTGCTGTGAAATTGTTTGTGGCAGTAGGTATCTGGAGGTGCACCACTTACACCAGATCAGGTTATTTACATTTTTTTAATCTAGACTTGTAAGAACTCTATCATAGCATGATCTACAAAGGTCATCCTTGTAGACTACTTACTGATTTTAAGTCAGACATGTAAATCTATGATACAGTCTAGAATAGAGAACAAACTCAATCAGTCCAAACTAGGTTACAGAAGTAGGCCACTTTATCTTTAGAAATCCTGGATGGCAAGTTATGTGGACATGGTCTGAATGAAGGGGTATTTAATCTATTTTTTTAATGTAATTGTGATTTCTCATTAAAAATTATGTCCCGGGAGCTGTGTCTTAGTTGATCCTTCCTAAACATCTTTCATAATCTGTAAAATTTAGCTCTGGGTTATAATGTTGAATTTGCACTGTTTCGTCAGCAGAGAATGTGCTCAGGTCAAACACTCTGAGCTCATATCCTCCTGCTTTGGTCTTCTTGTCTGGCTCCTCATAAACTAGACAGGAAGCTAATATGTTGGGCAATACTGGGGGCATAGTAATTTTATTAGTATGATGTGACTGGGCTTGCATGAAGTGCTGTAAAACTGATAGAGTTATTGCCAGAGAAAATTGCTGTAATATAAGGATAAACTTGAAGGGAAAGAATTTAGAATCTAGCATCTGAGTAAGGCTTGAAGAATTTCTTAAGCTGGTTCAAGTCCTTAAAAGTTATTATGCATTTTAAAAGTGCTGAAAAGCCTCACCTAAACTATTGTGCACTGAACTGTACAGCTTAGGAAAATCTTTGTCCTAGGGAGTTTACAGTTCAGGTGGTCAGGCAGACAAAAGGATGAGAAGAAATGGAGGTATAGAGCACTGTGCCACTAAATGAAGATTAATCAGGGTGCAATGACAGTAGACTGGAATCCGTCTCGCTCTCATCCAGTCCCTTGTGCTGAGGGATAATGCTGAGTCTGACATCAATGGGAACATTCTTGATGAAGTTAGAAGACCTGTCGACAGGTAGACCTCTCGCCAGAGAAACCCCCGATGTTGTTCTTGTCCGCTTTGTTTATTTGAAGTGAGCGCCATAGTTGTAGTAGGCACCACATGCAGACTTGTATAGGCCTTGGCTATTGTGGATGTACTCGTACTCCAGAAGGCAAAGGATTTTGCCACTTCTGCTTTTCTACATTACCTAAGAAATCCACATGGCAAGAGAAGCTTTCTCATTTCATCACTTTGAAACTGTCAGTGGTATTTTAAATAAATTATTTTAACTAAGATGGCTATTTCGGAGCATCCTGCTGTCGGACGCCATCTGTTTGGTAAGCGTCATCATTTGTGACTTCTGCAGTGTGGGAACCAAATGTCAGAGACTGTCAAAGCGTTTTCCATCATGCTCTAATTCTGGCTGAACATAAATCCTGTTTATTCACTTTGCTCAAGTAGTGAGACTTCTTAGGATTTTTAGTTAGGCCAGGGTTACAGTCAGGTGAAAACTGTAGTCTTTCTACAACCAAATTTCCTCAGAACAAGAATTTTTATAGAATTAAGGTACAGACTTGCTCAAATGAGGCCATCAAAGACAAATCAGATGCTACCCTATTGATCACTACTAACTGGCAGTGTGCTAGGTAGATATTTTTGAGAGTGTTCTCAGCTGAATGCATCTTTCAGGTACAAAATGAAAGTCTGGTCTCTCCTGGCCACTTAGGGTTTTGTTGATATTTTCATAAACATACAGTGTTGATCCAGCCATTTTAAAGAAAGCATTTTTCCTTGTCTAAACTATCACATCACCCTAAACCTATAGTCAGTATGTTATTTTGCATGTCTGTGCCTGATCCTCAAATGTTTGGGCTTCTCCAATTGAAAGTTCAGTAGTCATGTTTTTATTTCACCTCTCTTGATTTTTCTGTGTACATCTAGAGTCCCAGTTAAACTATGCAGCATCTGGGACGACAGTGGGCAAAGTTTCACTGAACTGTGCACAGAAAGACTTTGGTTCTGATTGGTAACATATCATTCATTGTAGCGTCAGCATCCTTTAAGCAGGGGTGATTAGCCAGTGTAATACTACTATGGCTTTGTGTTGTAGAAAAAACCAAAACAACATGTGGTTGTGTGTTTTTTGGTTTTGTTCTTTTTTTTTTTTTTTTTTTTTTTTTTCCTAAATTTGTGGTGAAAATCAGGTTTGGTTTTTTTATTATTATTTATTCTCTATTCTCATGTGGCTGAATTTCACAAACCAGATTAACAATCATCTTTTCTCAGGAAAATGCTGTGAATGGAGAGCATCTGTGGCTGGAGACAAATGTTTCTGGGGACCTTTGCTACTTGGGGGAGGAAAGCTGCCAAGTCAAATTCTCAGTGAGTTACTTTTAGTTTTCTTTCTCTCTTTCTGAGGTAACAAGCCTGACTTCAAACTGATACAGTGCTCAGATGCTTGTGTACTTTGATTGTTTGCTGTTGTTGGTGCTTGTGTTCCAGAAGGAACGTAAAAGAGGCAAAAGCCTACTGGTTAAAGACACTATTGGTTGTGGAAAAAAGCTCCAAACAATTTTGAGTGACCCATATTATTTACACAGTGAGAATGGATGTAATGAGTAGCTTTATTAACATGGTAAGGAAAAAAGGTTAGAATATTGAGATATTTCAGAAATGTTTGAAGAAAGTAGCCTATTTTATTTATGTACACAAATACACCACTGGCTCGGGTCTCTGAGAGCAGAGTCTGATCAAATTTTTTAATCACTGCAAGGATTTGAACTGTATTTTCTAAACTATTAAATGCAGTCACCAGCAATGAGTGCACTCATATTTGAGTGTTTGTCTTTTCTTATTTGAGAATATTCAGGGTTTACCTTCTCCTATTGAAGCTTTTCTACTGTGCATGAAAAAGTTTCATTGGATTGATCTCTAACCCACATGTGTTTCTTCTTGGACTGGGAAGTCACTGTTATACTTCCAGACTGCTTCAGGAACTCTTCACCTAGTGTTTCCTTTAAACTGCTTCAGCAGAAGAGAAGGAAAAAAAAAACAAAAACAAAACAGCAAACTCCAACCCTCTTATCTTGGTATTTAGGTGAGAGAGTGGGGATCCTGTGTTCAAGCCCTTGCTTTGAATCAATGCTTAAGGGAGCACTCTGGCCCTTGGACTGCAAGGTGTAAGGAGAGTCCCTCTTCTCTGGGATATTTGTGGACGCTGCCTGTGACTCTTCACTATACCATGTTTTTACTTTTATTTAAAACAAAACAAAAGATCAGATCATTTGATCTAAATCAAAGCATTTTTATTCACTAATCACCCCCTCAGTTTTTGAAGCACTTTGATCCAAAATACTAGTGTTTTCTATAGCTCCAATTTAATATCAATCCCCCATAACTTCTCAAGCAAATTGGTTACATTATGGCATGTAATGCTAAGGCCAAGCCTGGGAAGTCTATGCCTGCTTACAAAGAGTACTGAAACAAAGTCATGACAGTAACAGACTGCTGATAGTGGGGTCATATTCAATGGAAGTGTCATTGTGTATTTGCCCTGCGCTTATATTGGTCTTGAGGTGCTATGCTTTGTCAAAAGCTGGAGACACTGCAACTTTCTATGCCTGTCCTGGTCTTCCTTTGACTTAGCTCTTTCACCTGTAGACTATTTAAGATCAAATGTTTTTCAGTGGAGAAGTGATGAGAAATAATGAAGCTGTAGCTGCACAGACTTTGCATAAAATGTTAGTCTGTACAGAACATTAGCTTATAATGTCTGGAATACGGAGTTGACATTTCATGATAAATCAAAGAAGTTAGAAGTAATAGAAAAGATAGTCTGAATTTTTACTAGTCTCTCACTATAAATGGTTGTAGCTACTTGCAATGCCACCAGCATTCAAAAATGAGAACAACTTAAAAAGCAAGTTACTAAAAAAATAGCTGGTCATAAGGCGTTGCCTTTGTTTGCTTTTTGCAGTTTTCCATCTTGGGGGTCAATTCCTTTATTGTCTCACTTTTCTTAGTAAACACAGAGACTAAAAATGTACTTAAATTTAACAAGTCACAAAAGACAAGAAAACTTAGTTTGTTACACAATGTCACTATTCTTCAGGTGAAACATTAGAACAGCAGTCTGCATACATGTGAACAGATACAGTTAGGGTGTATCTAGATAATTGAGACTCATAATTATGAGACTCAAATGATAATTATTCTATAATGTGAGCTGAATTTGTGTTCCCCGTTTCTTCTTGAGTTTATTTACAATATATTGAAAATTCTGAAGAAATAATTTATTAGATATGTAAATGAACATGAATAAATTGAATGTAAAAAACGGAGGCAAATCAGTCTCAACTTACTGTGTGTTTATAAATTTTCTGTCCCTCAAGCACAAGTCTATAAATTAAACTTCTATGAAAATTAATTCCATCTGGTTTATTAAATTGAGTATATGCAAGAAAAAAAAAGTAAATATATTCTTTCTCTCCTGGATGCGTTCTCTTGCCTTTGATACGCTTTGGCCCAGGGGATTCAATGGAAATGATTTTAAAAGCCCTACTGAAATTAATAAAACTAACCAGCATAATTAGGTTGAGAATTTTGTCCCTGCTGTAACTTTTCATAAGCATTTAACAGAATTCTGTGAGAGGGTTATCGTTCTTTTCTACATGACCCAAGTACGCAAGTATTTTTCAGCAAGGCAATGGTCAGGCTGATAGAATTAAGTATTGTCTGATAAGCATGAAATGACACACTCTTCCAAACTGGTCTGAGTTCTCTGGTTTGCGTGTATGGTTTTTCTCCTCTTTTCAGTGGCTCTGCTCATCATCTTCATAGGCTACTCCCTTTCAGAGTGTTGATCTGCACCATTAACAGCCCAATCTGCTACCTAAAGGGAACCTTTAACTTCCAGTTCACAAGCTGGAGTGCGGCGGCTCTCTTTTTCACAAAGTCCAATTCTTGACCGGAAGAGCCTCAGACCTTTTTTTCAATATACACAACAGCCGAGAGCACCAAGAGAGGAAAAGTAGTATGTTGCGTAAGGAGCGCAACGTCTCTTGTTTCACAGCTAACTTTTTTCCTTCTGGGAATACCGCATCTCCATGCACACACGTCTCCCTTTCCTCTTGCAGAAATCTGCTCTGCGGAGGAAGTGTGCTGCCTGCAAGATTGTGGTCCACAATGCGTGCATGGAGCAGTTAGAGAAGGTAAGACATTGCCACCTTCTGGAGCCTGCGGTGGACAACACTCGTTTAATTCTTTTACTGAGGTTTCAGTCTGGAAAGTGCCATATGCCAAATCAGGTTTTCATAGCTGTTTTAACAATATGTTTGTTTAAAAAGTTGACTTAAAATTCCAGCTTATTTTTCAAAATGGATTTCTTCAAACCCTGTGAATCATAAAAATAAAAAAAAAACCAACAAAAACAAAACCAAAAACCACCAACAAAAAGCTCACAGAATGCTTTCACATTTTTTCATGTTTAAAAAATAGTTTTCGTCTACTTGTAGATTGAAAATCGAAGCTAGAAAATGCAGTATCCTGTCATGTACAAATTGGCTTTTCAAAATTCCTCAGCTAAACCCAGCATCATTCATCTTATGACAGCTATATTTATAAGGAGCAATGTAGTATACGATGCTACTATGAACATTTTTCACTGTGTTTACTAAACTATACTGTTTTCTCCTCAAAACTTCAGAAATTGTGTTCTTGTTTTTAAAATGGAAAACATCACACCTTTCCTTTATAGTACTATTATTTCTGTGAGCATCTATCCTGCTTCTCAGTTCCTTGAAGGAGACCTTGTCACCACCAAGCACCTATAGAATATCTATCACTGACTTCAGTTTTTCTATCAGCGATTTGTCTTCAATATGCTGAACTGGTAATGTGATGTGGAAATTTCCCCCCACCCTTTTCTTTCTTGGTGGATATGTGTAAAGAAATATGAGTAGGAATTTCCATGTTGACTTCGTTAGAGCTTCATTTTCACTCCTATATGTTTTGCAATGTTGTTCTTCATAGAAGAAGTTGATGCATAACAAATTTATAGCAGCATTTCTTTGGAAAGAGTTTTTTCCTTTCCAAGTATTTGGACTTGTGTTGACAAATGTCACAGTGAGTGCCATAATACCAACTTGGAGAGGTACCATTTCCACCCCCGATGCTTTTACCCACAGTGAAATTAGCATTAGTACACACTTTCAGCACAAAATGTTACCAGTGAATTTTTCATGACTTCCTTCATGAGCAGCAGTGCTGATTCTCTGTAGCATAGCAAGCCGGTGGCATTGCCAGCCGGAGCAAATGAGCACTTACTCAACAGAATGGGTTTTATCTTGTTTATGCCGTTCTGGAGACCATGAAATTCACCTCTTGGCAGACAGTTGTTATAAAGTCTGCATCCCTCTTAAACCCTGTGGAGTTTAAAACTGGTACGTGAGTCTTCTGCTTGGTCTTCTCTGCAGAAGTGTAAATAAAATCAATATAAGCTGGGAGTCTTTCCATCCTGCTCGACTCAGCAGTGAAATGATGAGTGTCAATTCCAGGTGAAGAGCAATGGAGGAAGACTAATATTGCTATGTCTTTTGTTTCTTCTTAAGTAATAAGTATTTTGTTTACTTCTTGTTTGTTTGTTTTTTCTCCCTTGATCTATTATTTTGAAGACCGTTATTAAATGAGGGAAGAACTTGTTTATATGGGAAGGGGAAATGTAGTGTTTAAATTTGAGGAAATGTGATCCTTCTGCCTTCATAACAAAAGCATAACTAGGCAGTGTCATTAAGTGTTTTATTCTTTGAAGGACAGTCAACTTAAGCTTGAATCTATTTCATCTAGTGTATCCTTACCTCACAGATCCTTTGGCCTTTTTCCATGCTCTCTCTTCTTCAATATATTTTTTTTTCTCTCTACATCCCCACTGCTTTTATTTCTACTGATTTTCTTTTCTCAAAAGACTTTTTATCTTTTCTCATAAGACTCCCTTGTTGTTTGTTAAATGCTTTTTCTTTTAACTTTCCTAAAAATGTTTTCTGTTCATGGAAGCTCCTTTTGTCCTCTTTTTGTCTTTCCTCTCCCATCTGAAGGAGGCAACACCACTGCATGAAGCAGTACAATGCTCACCAACTGGTTTGTGGTTGGGGAGATGGATAAGAGCAGCCTGAATTAAGCAAAAGGTAGAATTTTAGGGTACTTTGCACAGTTCTTCGTGTGAATGAAGATTTCTCCATGGATTTTGTTTATGAAGACGTAAATCTGGGATGTGTGAAAAGGTCTTACAGAATTAGATATCCGGCTCCTATTAACTTGAGACCTCAGCTTAAGACCACTTTGATTGCCAAAGTTCTTCTTCAGAAAAAAACACATGAAGCGGTTTCCTTCTAGGCAAGGGGGAGACAGTTTAAATAGTTGAACTGAGCCGGCAGCAATAGCATTAGTGAAGAAAAGATCTAGCAAAGAGAATTACTATGGCATATTAAAAGAGATTTTCTGGCATCCAGGTAAGTTACTTTGTTCAGCTAGCGAAGCTAATATGTTAATAGACAATAAACATTTCAGAAGCTTGGCCTAGATCAACATATTGGAATAAATTCTCTCTCAGCTCAATTTCAGTTCTAACAGCTTTATTTTAATGCCAGATTAATTTTCGCTGCAAACCGACTTTCCGAGAAGGAGGGTCCAGATCTCCAAGAGAAGTAAGTAATGGACAAGTGATGATTCCTTTTTCATTTTATTTGTGTGCTGATCCACCTGGTGTAGAGCTACAGCAGTGCTTTTAGATTCAGAGAAGGCTTACAGTATTGGTTCCCAGTGGGACACATTCTCTTCCCCATAATAAATGTAAAATGAGTTTTAACCGAAGGACTCCATTACTTACACTGACAGAAACCATTTCATCTTTTTGTTGTCTCTTTTCCCATTCATTCAGCTATTCTGTCTTTTTTCTTCTTTTTTGGTTGCATTTCTTTTTTTTCTTCCTGTCCTTTCAACTAGTATTTTTATTTTTTTTTCTTTTTCCTTCTCCTTCCACTTGCCTCTCCCTTCATTTTTTTTCCCTATAAATATCTCCAGTGTCCTAAGATATTTTATTTATGTAAAAAACCCCAAACATTCAAAAACCTTATTATTTGCCTCCAGCTACTGTATTGAATTCAGCTTCTTTGAAGGTACTGGGCTTTTATTGTCATTATTGATGTATTTATATATCTGTCTTATATAGTTAGAAGCCAGTGTTTCAAAAACACCTCTTAACTTTTATAGCTGGTTTGATGGCCAGCTTGCTCTTAGCAGAGGTAGCTTAATTCCCTGCCACACTGACAGTTCAGCGTTGGCTGGCACAACAACGTGGCGTAGACCCCTTCTAAGCCCCTTGACTGCGCAGAAGCAGGGGCAGCAGTCCTGCTCACTCTCCCATCTTTTGCCTGCCTCTTGCTGCCCACCAGCATGTAGGTAGTCCAAACAAGGAGAAAAGGCTGCTTCAATGACTGCTCCTTCCTCCCTGTCTTCCCTTCTCCTGCATTGCCTTGTGTTTTTTCACGTTATAAGGCTGTATTTCCAAGCAGAATAGAGTGGGGCCCTGCGTTGTGGCTGAATGCAGCGGTGTTTGGGTGCTTCTGTGCCCTGTATATAGGTGATGATTATCTCTGCATCATGTAATGAACTTTCTTCTTTTGTAGAAGAGTACCGAGATAGAGGTTCTGGACACTTTTCAACATGGATAAAGAACACCATCTTGTCCTTATTCCTTCTCTGGTTTTGGTTGTGTCTGGGGTTTCCCATGGGGCCTGCTGCATTTCGCTCCAGAAATGGTTGCATTGGCTGAGGGGACCTTTGCTTTGGTGTCTGTAAACCAATTTCACACAGATGGTACCATTGAGTGCAGGCTGCCATTGCTTCCTATAACATAACGTTTTGTCCTGCTTTTGCAGAACTTTGTCCGACATCACTGGGTGCACAGGCGAAGGCAGGAGGGGAAATGTAAGCAGTGTGGAAAGGTAAGATTTACAGTGCAACACAAGCACAACACCAGGCACTTATGAATTCAGGGTAGCCAATAGGTCCTTCTAGTCACTCAGATTTTTCTATCCTAAACACTTGGTCTCTTAAGGGCTGATGACAAGCTTGATATGTTGTCTGGTAGCAGCCCTGAGTCCCATGTGGGAAAAGGAAGCTGCATCTGCAGGAAGGAGTATGTCATGCGTCCTGGGACATTGCACTGCACTGGCTGCTGAAAATGAGGAGGAAGTCTGTGGCTCCTTGAGCTTCTTTCTTTGTTAAGCTAACTCTGTGCCAATATGGCATTTTTGTAGTGCTGTCCTCTGTGCCAAATTTGTGATGGGCTATTTTTTCAGACTTCTGGAAAAAGAAAAGCTGTTGCTTGTTTTCTGCCCTGGCAGACTCTTAAGGTTTGTGAGACTGTTTCACATTTCGTGTGCTGCACAGATTGTAAAACTTTGTTTCTAAAAAGCTATAAAAAGGAGTAAGAAGTACCTTAGCTACTGAGGACCTTTCTTCTGGAATATGAACCCCTGAAATCTGTTGAGAGATACTTAAAAATTAAATTAACACAGGGTTTGATTTCCTTTCTCTAGCACTATGTTATACTTTTGCCTCCATCTTAAGGTCAACTAGTAAGAAAGACTGTGTTTTGTCTCCGTGGCACAGCACTTAAGTCAGAGGAAAATCAGATTTGTGTCTGGATACTGATGTAGATCACCTACCCTTTCATAACAAGTAGCATGGGAACAGTACAGTGAGGCACTTTGTATGCAGAATTCTTATAGGATTTTGCAGTGATATTACCTTCCTCCTGCCATTTTGGCCTGGATGTCCCCTAGAGGTACTACAGTTTGATTTTGCAATGGGAGTACTTGCTACCTATTATATCAAGACCTGTGCTGGATACATTCACATGGGCAACATGACCAGTCCATCCTAAAATATCTATCAGCCCTTACTGGTGTGGAGGAGATCAGAGGAAATCACAGTTTTCCCCTTAAATAAGAAAGATTCAGTTGAGACTAACATAGGTGTATTGTAGTAGAGTTCTTTGTCAAGAAACAGAAAGTATTAGGGAATAAGATAACAAGAAAAAAAAAATCCCATTGTATTTATTGGCCAAACAGTCTCCTATTACAGCAAAATACTTGTCTGTCTCGTGTTCCACTGTTAGATTTCTTATACCTCCTAGTGAGAACTGTCTTTTGTATTCTCGTCATGCAAGAAAAAGGGAACTATCATTGAAACAGAATGGCAGTAAATTTAAAGCAATAAAAGAAATTATTATTCATGGGATACCTAATGATTCTGGTAGATCTCATCGTAGTGTAATATTGATCCTATCCCATGGGTAGAACTGGATGGTTAAGTATTTTAATAATCATTAATAACAGTTCGAGTAAAGAAAGTATTTAGGATATACCCATCTCATGCTTCAAATTGTAAGCCAGTGAAAAGGAATTAATGCTCCCCAACGTCCTTAGTGTGGCTTTGTGGCTTTATATTTCATGTGCCTTCTGTGCCATAGCTGACGCTTCCTGAGAGGTGGAGCACAGAAGTATCCATGTCAGTGTTCCACCTTAGATCAGAAGTGCAGTTTGGAAGGAATTTTCTTGATTATCATCCCTTACTGTGGTTCACACAGTCTTGCAGCAAATAAACAGATTTATTAAATTAGATTAAACTTAATTGAAAATTAACTCTGCAGCTACTAATGGTCATTCAGTCCACAGGACCAGATCATAGCTAGTCTGAAGTAAAATTTTCTGAAAATCCTTGTGTGTAGTGTCTTCAATACTGACAAAGCCTATGCTACCACAGTTACTTATTCCTTGCTAGTGCAGATACAGCTTATATGGTCGCCTCTAGGCTTCAGTTTTCTTCTCTTCTTCCTCCCAGAGGTGATTTCACTGATGTACTGCAAAAGTACTATGTGCAGAAATTGGTGCTAGGGAGGGGGGCCTGGAAAGTTTTGTTCAAAATACTACTGAGTGCAGTGGAACCAAACAATCTATTTCGGTCTACTTGCTGTCATGATTCCCCCTTTTTTTTTTTTTTTTGGAACTGGAGACTGTAATAGAAGGATGATCATATCTCTTAAGACAAAGTACCATTGAGCCCATTATTCAACAGTGGCTTATTATGGAAAAATATAAGATGGGGGCAGGTGATACACCCCCAAAACAATCTCCTGGCCTCCAAGAATTTCTGTCTCATGAATTTCCAGGAATGGTGCCTTTATATTTAACAGCCTATGATAACTTTCTCTCCTGTGATCTTATCTAGTTTATCTCTGAGTTCCTGTAGAGTTGTAGCGTTTACAACATCCTTTAGCAAGGAAGTCCCAAATTTAACTACATGCTGTGAGAACAACTACCTTTTGTTTGTTTCAAACCTGTCATTTTTTTTTTCTAATGCTCCATAGCTCTTGTATTGGAAGAGATGGTAAATAAACGCTCCCAAACCACATCCTCTACACCATTGATAATGTTTAAGAACTCATTATTTCTCCTGCAGGTGGAAGTTTTGTAGCTTTTAGCTGTTATTAGCTGTTTGTTACCTGAGATAATCAGAGAAATCAGAATTTTTTTTCTGTATGTAATACAACGTAAGAATGTTCAGACCATGAGGCCAGAATCCAGTTCATGACTGTGTGCAGTAATAGAAGCTTAAGGATGAATGCAAAGTGATTCTTTCTTCAGATACTTCCAGTTACCAGTGGCTTAGGGATTTTCTGAGACTGAGAATACATCTTGGACCATCATGCTGAACAGACACTTTATTTCTTTTTATGTTCTGTGGTGTTCAAAACAGTGTGTCCAGTATACACACACAATGTGCAGCTACAGTGTCTATCTCTTTCTCTTACTGGTCCCTTTAAAGGTCTGTGGATTGATGCAGAGCTATATGCTTTTCCTGCCTATAATGGTAGGATTGAAATTTCTAGTACTTGAACGGCAATTCTAGTTCTTTGTTATTTTAGCAGAGATCACCATCCAAGTGCTTCTATTGCTGTCTGTATTTGAGTTGTAATAATACCTGGCTCTCCTACAGTAATGTTGCATTGGAAAAATCTCTGAGAGCATTAAGAAAGGAATAAATATCATAGGAAAAGAAATGGAAAAAAAATTATTAGTAACGGTAACACTGATGTGAAAATACTCTTTAATGATAAATATGTTTGAGAATATAACCAAAACATGCTGGAGCAAGTAATCCCTATGTGCTCTTTGTGCATGGGTGTCTATATTAATGTGGACTTTGATCCAGATTATTTAGACTGATTGTAATCACCAGTGCAAGCTGGGGATTCAGGTGCTCTTTTCCTTCAAATATATTTCCTCTGGTATGCACAACTGTTTATTTCCACAGGAACAGCTCACAGCATGGGATTTCATGTATTGTACAGGAATTGTGTGCCAGTGAATCAGGGCTAATCAGATACTGTTAGCCTGATATTCTCACAAAGGTGAAATCCCACAATGTCTAAATTTGTGCAGAAGACCTCCTTACATGACCCAGGAACAAGACAGCTGAATTTTAGTTTTGCTTCTCGCTGAGAGAAGGCAGAAGAGATGATTTGTGGTGGAATATGGGGGGCTCCAGTGTTTCGGTCTGATAGTCCCCATCAAATCTCACTGTTACCTGCAGTGCATTGCTTTATTTTATCAGTTCCTTTATTCGTAAAGCTAGCTTTCAAATAATTGCTATCTTACCTCAAACATATATCCTTGGGAAGAATTAGCTCACATTTGTAAAGCAATTTGAGGAAGAAAAGTAGTGTTTTATTGCTGCTTATCATTAATATGTTTTTATTGCTGTATCATTTTCTCTAATGACTCCCTAAAAGCCAAATGGCTTACTGAATAAATGAAAAACGGCCCATGCAGAACCAGACAAGCTGCTCAGTCCATATGTTTAAAATACACCACTGAAGGACTGTGGAATTAATGTACTGAATTTTAGGTTTCATTAATTGAGGTTTTGGGAGAGAAAAATTTCTCCCCTGGTTGTTTCAAAGCAGAACAAACCAAAACATTTCATGCCCATGAGGGCCTGAAATAATTTTTTTTTTTTTTTAATACACATTGGGACAAGAAAAAGTGAGAAACAAGAAGCACTAGTCTAAGTGAATGAGAATATAGCATTTTATCCAGTGTCAGACCTCCGTTCCAGCACTCGTATCATATGTACTGTCACTCTGTTTGTTCTTGTGCCGACATCAAATGTCAGACTAGCTCTGCCCAGCCAGAAGCAGCTGGCCAGCTTGTCATTGTGAAGCCGTTTGACCATGCTCCATTACTAAATCTGAATGTGCCAAATCACTGTCATTGTGAAGAATCTACCCTTTGAATTTCTCTGAATGTAAAACCTGATTAAAAAAAAAAAAAAAAAAATCTAGGCAGAGATGACGCAAGCCTCTTTAGGAGTAGGTCTTAGTTGGTGGTGTGGTCCATCTGGCAAGCCGGTTTGAATACATGCTGGGGACCCCTGAAGAAGGAGCTGTAATGTGCAATTCTGCATGGGCAGATAGGTAGAACCTCCTCCTGTTCAGATTATTGATAGGGTTGTCCTCAGCTACCATGTATGGACAGATTGTAGCTCAATCCCACGCTTAACAAGACCAGTGCATCTCTGGATGGGTTTTTGGTTGTTCATTTAATTCTCCTTCTTGGTGTGCTTGATGTCATTGCACTGAGCACTAATAGGCTCATTTTTCCTGCGGGTGTCCATCTTCCTGTTCCTTTCCACAGCAGCTAGGATTAGAAGGACCTTAATTATAGAAGCAGTGAGGCGATGCCCTGTTAGATGTTACTAAATCAGATTATAATTGTTTGCACCGGGTCTTGGACATTGGCCAGTATGTAGGAGATTTAGTTAAAACTGAGCTTGTAAAAACTAAAACTGTCTCACAAATTCATGACTTGGTAGGGACAGGATTAGAGAATTTTGGGTGGTGATGAGCTGTGTAAGGTAGTAGAGAGAGGCTTGACAGAAGCCAGTGACTAAAGGATCCAGATGACTGCAAATCTGAAATCTAAGCAGTGAAGGTGACTGTGACAAACTGTTCAATGAAGTTCTGGACTTTCCATCTCTGCCGCCATCAACCCACATCAATTCTTTCTCTGACTAAAGTAAGCTTTAACTGAACACGAATTTTTTAGGTTGTAACTTACTGTTTATTGCCTGTGTTATATGCAAGAAGGGTGTATATGACCCAATGGTCTTTTCCAGTCTTAGAATTTAGAGCAAAGTGATACGTCTGCTGAAATTACATTCTACAAAATGAAAGTCTTCTGTGGGAGATTAAAATCTCGTATCTCCTGGTAATGGTATGCTTTTTTTGTCTTTATAGCTATAATGAAATATTTTCTTTTCTTGTATCTGTTTGATCTGAATCAGACCATCTTGGTTTTTGGAACTTACTAAAAAGATTTTGATCTGAGTCAGCTCAATAAAACAATAAACTTAATTTCCCAATCAGAACATCTGCACACAGACATTTTAGTCAATTCCACTCTGTATTAAAAAAAAAAACAACAAACTAACAAACCCAGCAAAAACAAAAAACAAAACAAAAACAACACCACCACCCCCCCCAGGAAAATTCAAACTCGTGTTTATATACATACAAGCATACAAGACTGCAATGAGAGAAAGCTTTTTTTGAAAGAAAATCTGAATCTCTCAGGTCCGTAGAAATCCATTAAAATAGGCATTCCTTCTTAATTTCTGTTGCTTTTAACTACAAAAGCTAAGAAAAAGCATAAAATTTTGGAGAAGTGTTTTTAAAAAAATGTGTGTGAAAATGCCCTAGTTGAACACCTTTCTCTCTAAATCTTGTCATTTTATGCCCCAAAAATATGTTTCATGGTTAAGAGCTTAGAGGCTGAACCAATGTATCTGACTTCAGTGAACTGATTTAGTTAACAGTCACCTGAAAAGAGTTCTAGGTGTAAGTTTTCTGGTAGTCAGCCAGATTTTAATCCTTTTTTTTTTTTTTTTTTTTTTTTTTTTTACCTCCCTACTTGTTTTAGGGCTTTCAGCAGAAATTCTCCTTCCATAGTAAAGAGATTGTGGCCATCAGCTGTTCCTGGTGCAAGCTGGCGGTAAGTGATCAATACTCAGGGAGACTGGTAGCAGCTTCCCTGAGTGACCACATTGCAATTTCCTTTTTCCTGGCTCTCAGGGTTCCCTCTCTGTGAATCACCCCCCTGTTTGCCATTTCTGTTCCTTTTGCTGAAAGACACTGTAACTTTACCTGACTGACATGAGTCCTCTAGGAGAAGAGTCTTGCTGCGCAACATAGTCACTGGCTACCTCCAATCGGTGCCCTGCCGCTGCTAGCTCAGACAGCCGAAGGGCTTTTAATACGTACAGCTGCATCAAACTAGGTTGTGGTCTTCAATCTGTGTTTAAGTAGGAGATATTCTTGTTTGTTTGTTTTGGGGCTTTGTGGTGTGTGGGTTTTTGGTTTTGTTGGGGCTTTTTTGTTTGTTTTATTGGTTGGGGTTTGGGTTGTGGAGTTTTTGGGTTTGGTTTTTTTTTTTTTTTGGTAAGAAGGCATGGTTAGGGAAGATGGTCTTTACTTATATGTTCCTAAAATTCCATGGTTAGAAAGGCTTGAGGATGGTGGAGTTGGGAACCCTCATCTTCCTCGTCATGCTTCCCCTTTGTCTTTCTTGGGCTTCCTTATTGACTCTACTCTTTTCCTGTCTTCCAGTTTCATAACAAAGTCACCTGTTTCATGCTACATCATATTGAGGAGCCATGTTCCCTGGGGGCTCACGCTGCTGTCATTGTGCCTCCCACCTGGATCATTAAGGTGAAGAAACCTCAGGTAACTGCATGCTGATGTCTGTTTCTGAAGCTGTATGGCTGTGCAGGGTCAACCTGGCTTCGCCTCTCAGTACTCCTTCACTAAGGCATGCTTGTTCAACCCTGTCTCTATACCTGAAACCCAGCATACATCCATGGTGATTATGAACCTGTATCCTCTTGCCCCTCCATCCAGCCCTTCAGTAGCTTTCCCTGTTTGGGATGATTAGGCACAAACATGACTCTTGTCCTGAGCAAATCCAGCTCAGATTTGTTCCTGTAACTGAGTTCAGCAAGCATACTGCAAGAAACCCCCTGTGTTGTAGGCAGTCAAGCATGTTTCATTAGAGCTGAGCAAATACAAGGAAAAACTGTTTGCAAATGTTCACTTGAATTGTAGTAAGAATTGGCTTTAGCTAGACTGGCATCCCTGAGAATTTGCCGTCAATGGACATTTAAACAGTCATGTCTTATTTACATCAGTGATTGCTAAATGTCAGCAGTAAGCCCACATACTCATTTAGTTGCAGGTAACAAGCATTAGACTTCAAAGCTCTTATAATGGATGTGTTGTGTCTTGGAGAGGATAATTCACTGGTGAACATAACAGGGAGAAAAGGTATCCAAAAGAGAGCTGGCCAAAAATTAAAAGGGTATTCACACCATGCAAGAAGTATTTTTTTTATTTAAAAGTCTGTTTTCACTTGAAGATGAATTGGAAGAAACAGACAAACAGGGAACACGTCAGGGAGTCAGAAATTCTGGTAAAAGTTTTATTTCAGAAGCACTGAAACAAGGTTGTTTGGTTTTGTTTTTTTGTTTGTTTGGTTGGTTTTTTTGTTTGTTTGTTTGTTTTTTTCTGAAATGAATAGTGTCTGGGATATTGAAACTTCCCACTCATGTTTTCTTGTAATTTTCCTCCATTGAGAGGAATGCTGGTTTTATAGAGTAGTGACATTTGGTTCTTAATGTTAGTATGTCCATCCTTGGGAATTGCCCCAGGGCTTCCTGGCCCTGTGTCCTGGTTGTCAACAAGAAGCTGAGAAGTTCACGCTGTAGGCAAGGCATTGAGACAAAATTAGTCCCATGAAAACTGGAAAAAGGTTTAAGTTGTGACACTGCTCAGTTTTTAGTTCCAGTTTAGGGATGTGACTGTCAGATTTGTGCATGAATAGCTTTTCTAACAAGCTGGATATTGAAGACAAGGGGGAGAAGGGGGAAGGGGAAATATACATATGGAGTAATCAAAAAGTTGCCCAAAGTGACTACTATTTCTTCTTTAGGTCCAGAGGCACTAGGCAAGATTTCTAGTCACCCGCACTCTGAGAAAAAAAGATTTCTTTAGCATTTGTATCTTTTTCATCATACTCTTTTTTTTCCTCTCTTAGTTTTACTTCAGCTTCCACCATAGAAATCTTTTTTTTTTTTTTTTTCCCCTTTTGTTGAAGAATCTGTTTGAGCCCTTGGCAGGAACTTAATCTTCTTGGCTAATTTTCAGCACATGTGTGGTATTTGATAGATGTATCCATGATAGGTGTATCCCTGTCTGCCCTTATTAAAAGAAGCCTTTCTTTGATCTTATTAATTTTTATTTAATTTTTAGTAAACAAAAATAATAAACACTTGGAATTTTCTTTTGATTTGGCAGTTGGCCAAAGTAGGGTACCTTCCTCATAATAATTTTAGAGAATTTTCTTTCTTGTCCATTACTCTTTTTTTTTTTTTTCATAATAGTTCAAATAAAAAAATAAGTCTGATCTAGTTAATCCTAATTTATGGAAAAAATGCCTTTAAATGAAGGTTTAAAATGCGACACTAAAAGGAAATAGATTAGCTTTGTGTGCCTGAGTCATGAGTGGAGAGGAAGTACTTCAATCCAATATTCCCCCTCCATCACATCTTGAGTCCTTGAAATTCAGGGTCAGTAGCATGCGAAAACCTCATCTTGAATAATTGAAGCATTAAATAGATCAAAGTGATATTTAGCAAAGACAATGGGCATATTTCCATGAAACTTCTTAACAGCATCCATTGCAGTATTTGTTCTGGGGAATGCATCCTTATTGCTGTAGAAACTACTGATGCCTCTTTCAGATGTGTTTTCAGATTTTTGGCAGAAGTCTTGTTTATTTATTATGTTTTTAGGAAATTTTTTCTCCTCTCCTGCTGTTTCTGGCCAGCTCTGCTTCTGTGTATTATGACCCTCTTCACCCTATATGAATGTTTGGTAAACAGTATGAAATATTCACTGCATTCAATCTGCAGAATACAAACACAATATTCAATAATTTTTGCAAATTCAGATAGTAAATGTGTAACCAGAAACCTGTTTTTCACATAGTCCACAATCTGAATAAATTTAGCTAGAAGCCTTTTTGTTATAAAATATTTCCTCAGCTCTAATTAACTACTTACATTGGTCATATGCAACTCCTGGACTGAATTCCCTCCTTACATGAAATTGGTTTTAGTGGTACCTTCATCCTGTTTGTTGGTTGTTTCTTTTAAGCAAATAAGATGGCTTTTTGCAGCAAAACCTTGCCCTGATTTTTAATTTTTATTTTTATTGCTACAAAAATGGTTTTCCATGCTTATTTTGTACAACATGGGTCACCACCTTTCAAATACTGGGCTTGAATGAAGAGCACGCTCTCCCTCTGATTACTAGCAACATTGTGGTAGTGAAGCATCATGGTATAGCTGGTTAAGGAAAAATCTCTACTGACAGCCTGCATTCTAAATGGGGAGCTTTTGCTTCTTGCAAGCAATTGATTGCAAGATGAAGAATGTTCAGAATGGTTCCAACAGCTTTGGGATTGGTGGTAGCCCTGTACGTAATGACCCATTTACATTAATGGAACTCCCAATACCTATTCCATGTTCATAATGTGAGCCCACTTCTGTAAGTTCTTTACCGATTTCCAGTGTTTCTGTACTGTGTTAGCAGCACTTTGATACCGGTTCTCATTTTCTGGGGTTCAAATAAATTCCATCTTCTAGCTTGTGAAAGCAGGTTGCCCCTGTTCACTGGTGGTATTTTGTTATAGGTAAGGTTTGGTAGCCCAAGTGGTGTTAGCTGCTATATGCTTACATTGTGGGGAAAAGTATAATATAAGGAGGATCTGGCCGCTGTACTTACTGATTCAGTCTGTCTTCTGTTTGGGAAGGCAAAGGCAGTAACTGTAAAATTCCAGGTTTTTTTTTCTATTCAAGGTGAGTAAACATGGTGTTTTCTTCTTCTCCTTTGAGGACCTTGAAAAGGTGCTAGTGAATATTTATATTTCTGGGTTTATTTCTTCATTTCCTCAATTGCTGAGTGCAGCTGGCTTGTCTGATGGTGGTTTGTGAATGACCAAAAGGCGGTCAAAATTGACCTTCCCAGAGACTGTTCATTATTCAAGTAATTTGAAGCCCAGCGTGCTAAAAGTCTTTGAAAATGAAGGCTGAAATGTTGTAAAGGAAAAGGTTGAAAAAGTCCATTGGATTTGCTCGAGACAGTCTGTGGCCCTCATACCACCCAACACCGTATAAGGAGGACTCCAATTCTGTTCATCTAGCTAAGCCTGCTGAGAACTATACTGCCCGTTCAATAATACCAAAAATCTCTTTCTGAAGATGCCAAACTGACATCCACAAAGGAGAGGTTTCCTCTGTAGAGGCAAGTTAGGATTTACATATGGTGCCCATTGAAAGGTATGCTTTGCTATCAGATACTGTGCTGAATAACATATGTCTATAAAATATTCATCACCTTGTTATGTGGATGAGGTAGTATGCATCCATTTCTTCACTTCAGTGTGCAAAGACTGATGATTACTCTTGGCTGTTATTCTTCTGCATGTTTGCAAAGAGAACCTGTATATGTTTAAGCAGCTTTTTTTGCCTTTCATCTGCTGTGGACATGCAGTTGCAATCATGGTAGTAGAGCTTTAGGTTCTCTTAACGCTATAGGCGTAGTCATGTTTTTTTAAAAAAGAAGGGTGAAATAACATAGTTGTGATGTAGCATATTTTAATGCCTTTTTGAGTGTGGAAATGAAAATTAATGGATCTTCATGAATGCAGGCTTAGACTAAAACTGTTTCTCTAATATGGCTGTATGCCTCTTCCCACTCCACCCGTAGTCAAGAAAAAAATATGTGTTCTAATGGGATTTAATGGCAGCTACACTTAAACATTCTTTAAAATATTCTAATTTTAAATAGTCACGGTTTTACTGAACTGTCTTTGTCCTTTCCAAAAGAACTTCACTGGGCTTAGGTCCATCCATTGTGGAGGCAGAATAACAAGTACAGTCCTTCTTCCAGAGGTACAGTTAAGTACTTGCCTAGTATAATACCTAACTTGAGTTACAGACAAATATTTGTCAGCAGATTTCACTGCGCTTTGCCAACAAGATAAGTATTTGGAACTTTACACCTGGAGAGACAGAAGCACAGGGAAAAGGCTTAATATGATCTTTCAGCAGACCAATGGCAAGACTGCAGACAGACTAGATCGCCTCTCTCTGTAATGTATTTTGCTCCACTCCAGGGAGAATCCTTCATCAGAAAATGGCTGAGGAACTAGCCTAAGGCCCCCATGGGAAGCAGCTTTGAGAGTAATGTCCTGTACCTTTCTATTGACGCAAAGGCTTTTGTCTACAGTCAGTCTCATTACTGAGGTAGGGCAGTGAAAGACTATGCAGATGATATTGCTGATGCACTTCCATAGTCAGCGCAATCCTTGTGGTTTATCATGCTTTCGAGATCACTTTGTATCAGAGTAGGGAAAAGTACAAACACTTCTTCTAGTGGTTTCTCAAAATATGGTCTAAAAGAGTAAATGTCCTGTAATTGCTCTGCAGAGCTGTCTTGTCTTCAGTATTTTTAGTAAGCAACAAGGCATGACTATGCCCTGGTCTGCCAGGAATGTTGAGAGGTGACAAAAAAGCTTGGGACCCTTTGCTGTACAACAGACTTTTCTTGGACCAGGTGAAAAAGGACAGTGCCTTTAGGTATTTGAGTTAGCTGTTAGTTTTTCTTAACTTTTCAGAGATGTGGAAACATTAACTTCCGTACCTGGTGTGTAGTACTGAAGTCTTGAAATTCTGGAAGTGGTTGTTAGGTATTAAACAGAATCTAGCAGCTGTTCTTGTTAATGTTGGTTAGCAAGCAGGCTTAAGGACAGACATCACTGCTTGCAGATTTTATGATCTCTGGTCATTGACTTTTTTCATTAGTAGTACACTTTTGAAATGAGCTTTTGGATGAGCTGAGAGGATATTGCTTCCCTTTTTGAAGCCAGAAAAAAAAAATCAATAAACTTTCTTCTAATTCCCTCTGTTACTTATTTCCTGATGATGGCTAGACTAGAAGTTGAAATACTGAGAAAATATTTACAGTATTTCCTATAATACAGTTTCAGTCATATGGAAAATGTTAGGGTTTCCTGCAAGTATGACTTCAGTTGCTGAATTAAGATAATTAAAAAATAAAATAAAATTCCCCTTTTTGGACTGTTCTTATCACACCAGAACACCTTTTGGTTCAGTATCACTGAGCAGGCTATCGCCAGCCTGGAGAATAACTTTGATGCAAGTTCTATTTTAATAGGTTCTGCAAAAGTACAAGGAGTTTTATGGGTTTTTTCCATGTAGTTAAGTGATATTGTTGTTTAAAAACAGAGCAAACAAAACCCCCACAAACACCCCTTTACCCAAATCCTTAAATGTTAATTCAGTTTGTTCCTTAGCAGATGATTACACAAGTTTCTTGATAGGCTGGAACTGACTCCACAGTGCCAGCATCATACACCATGGTGGCCTATGCTATGTCGAGTCATAATGGTTGCCAGAGCTAAAACTTGTTGTCTTCTTTCCTAAAAATAATAATAAAAAAACGAAACAAAAAAACATGAAAAATATCTCATTTATCATGTTTTTTATTACATCTTTATGCAGGTGGTCTCCATACCAGGAGACGAGCCTGATTGGGCAGGAGACTGGAGCCCCGAAGGGGAAACGGGCGTCTCCTACCCCTATTGGGAGGGTTGGCAGGTACAACATGTGGTGTTATGTGAGTCTATGGGAGCATCTGATCTTTTTTCCCCCTCACAGCGTGGGAAAGTTTCCAGTTCCAAAGCACCAGTCTGGTCTCCGTGTGTGGCTTTCTCCATAAACGGTGGTGTGGAAGTGTAAAGCATGCAGCGCATGTAATTTAAATCTCGAGCATGTGCCAGATACTCTTATCATTCTCCAAGTGGACATGCATGGAAGAGCTTCGTAAAGGGACTCTGTCTGGCCTGTCTTCTAAATTTTGTTTTGCTTTTCATGTTTGTTTTTTTTTTTCTTTTGATGTAGAACTCATTAAAGACTTCAACACGGCGAAAGAAGAGAACATCTTTTAAAAGAAAAGCCAGCAAAAGAGGCAATGAAGTAGGTATTCAAGTGCTTTGGAAATCAGGCTCCTTTTGTTTAAATGTCTAAATGAAGACTTTAAAGTTTAATATTTTTACTGCAGTGTTTAATTTTTTTTTCCCCACTGGAAAATTCCATGCTATTGAATTTGTTGTGAGAAGAGATCAGTTTTGATAAAACTTGCATGAGAAGTTTAATTTGCTAAGTTGATTTTTTTCAAGAAACGACATACCAGACTTCAGAAGGGTCATCAGCCTAAGGAAACAGCATTCCCTTGGGATATGAAAGACTCAGCTCAGACCTTTGGTTTCCAGTAGGCAGAGCAGGGGTGTGAAACTGGGGTTGTGAAATTCATGGTGAGTACACTGATGCAAGGGTCTAGTCCAGTTTGAGGGCATCTCCCTCCAGAGATCTTGTATTGGAAATATTCTGTTGGTGTGAAAATTGACATTGGGCCACAGAGAGGGAGAAAACAGATGAATAATCTGATGATTCTATTTACCATGTAGCTCATAGAAGACCTTGTTTCCAGACCCTGCCTAGTGGATTAGTTATATAGATGAACAACAGCCTCATGGGAGAGGTGGAGGGAGAATCAATGCTGCATAGCCAGGGCTCTCTAGTTAAACTCCTTACTTGATGTTGGGAGAATTGCAAACTAGAAACTTGAATCTGTGTCTGCCACAGCCCAGGCGAGTGCCCTCAATACTGGGATTTCTGGTGTCCTGCAGGGGTAGGGAGTAGGGAGGCAGATAGTTTTCTCATTGACTTGTCATGTTTAACCTCTGGCATTTGTTCAAAGGTGGGAGGGTGGCAAGGCCAAGAAGTCAAGAGCAGATCATCTGCAAATATGTGCTGATACAACTTGTGTGTTGGATGGAATGAATAAAATAAGTAGCTTACTTCATTCTGTTTTCCATTGGAAAAACAGCACTTTATCTGACACATTATTAGCACTGTGTGAATAATTGGTTTTCTGGGAAATAACATTGAGTAAAATTTTAAAATAGGTTTGTACTGGCCTGAGGTGGTTCCCCCTCCCCCTACACTACTTATTTTCTTACTCAGTTGTCTCAGCTGGATAAATTACTCCCAACTGAGCACTACATTAACATGGCTGTACTATTTCCAGTACCTGCGGTAGTTTTGTCAGAGCTAGTTGGGTCTCCTGCACATGTTATGCCACAGAAACATACATAGCTGGTCCTAAAGCTGTTTCTTGCTTCTGTTTCTCAGGATAACAAAGGTCGGCCATTTGTGATAAAGCCTATTTCCTCTCCGCTCATGAAGCCACTGCTGGTTTTTGTCAATCCAAAAAGTGGAGGGAACCAGGTAAGAACATCATCTGGATCCAGGTCACAAAGTTTTAGTTTAACAACAGTGTTTTCTCCAAATGAGACTAGTTCTTGGTCAGTCAGATAGGAAGAACTCCATGCCTGAACTGCAATCGTTTGAAGAGGTCCTTGCTGTTGAATGGCCTTTCCACTTCAGTGGAATTATGTGGATGGAATGGATACTTGAGTATTTGAGCAATTGCATTCCTGTCTTCAGATTCTTGAAAGGAATTTACAATGATAGTTTGGAGGTTTTCAGAAGACTTCATCTTTCCACAGAAAATTTAGATTGCCAGTGAAGTCTTAGACTTTTCTTTTATCCGAAAAGTGGTTTAGTTTTAGTAGGAAAGCCTGGTGAAATTAGTGAATGGGAAATGACACATTCTTATGGCATTAAAAAAACCCTATCAATACTGGTCTTGTACAGTACCATAGAGAACCCAGTTTCAATGACTAACATGCAGCAGACTTCTTTCTTAGGGTTCCTGGAGTTAAAACTTACCCAAGTGAGTGTTTTCCAGATTAGTTCTGCCACTTTTTGAGTATCAGATAATCTGAATGCTTTTTAATAAACAACCTTTTAGCTGAAAAGAAAAAGATTAATGTAAGATACAACAGAGGCCTACAGAGCATGGAGAACAGCATAGCCACTGTTCACTTCCTTCTCTGTTGGAAGAATTAGGGAGGATATAAAATGAAACATCTAAGACTGATTCAAAACAAAGAAAAGAGTTGGTCCTTCTCACAATATGTAGTTCAGCTGCAAAACTCCTTACCATAGGAAGTTGTGGGTGCTACAAGTTTACACAGGCTGAAGGAGGGATTTGGAAAAGAAAACCCTGAAGGTTACCGTCCTCTGGCTTGAGTTCTATGAACTGCAAATAGCTGAGGCTGGGAGAATACCTACAGCAAGTGTCACATTTATTTTCTTTCTTCTTATACCTTTTTCTGGGCACTTTGTCTGCTATTCTTGGTACTACACTTAGGGGAAGGTGTCAGATAGAAGAGCCATCCCTCAGAAAGGGGAGCTATTGAAAATTCCTGACTTGTGCCCCCCTCAGGACATGTCTGAAAGGCATTCTTGAATTACCTTGGAGTTCCAGCTCACCCCATAGGGTTCTTAGCCCTCTTCTGGCAGTAACAGATCCTGCCACTTTGTGTCTGGACAGAACATGAAGGAAGGAAATTGAATGCCTGGAATTGAGAAAGCAGAAATTGTATCTTTAGGTGATGGGCTGGCCACCTTGCATTGAGTTGAGGGAGCACTGGGGCAGCTGTAGCCCATAGAGTCTTTGACTCCTGCTTCATTAGATGGTAGGGGGCTACAGTTATGAGTGTTCATGGTGGTGATGGTGGAGGTCAAAGCAGTGTCATTGCTTGGATGTTGGGCAGGACACCGTTCAATGTGATAGTGACTTTGTCCACAAGCTTGTTGATCTTCCTTCTGTCATGGATGGCTGAGGGTGGTGTGGGATAACAGAGGTTGTTTCTTGTTACAGGTGGTGAGAGGCCGGAGAACAGGTTGCTGTGGGAGCTGAACCTTTGGTCTGACCCCCAAATGCCTGTTCTTATGAACCATGAGTGATCAGTGTTGTTAAATCTAGTCTGTATGTACGCATGTGCACCCTGCCCCGATGGGTGGGTTGCTATTCTATAGAGCAGTCATCTGCTATGCCACTTTCTAGTTTGCCTTTTTTCTTGGTTTGTTTGCTTTATGAAACACGGAAGAAGGAAAAGCAGTCCAAATGTAGTGAATAATGAACACTATTTCTAATAATCATTAAACTAGTTGTAATTTCTCTTCCTTTGATTTTTCTCTCTTCCCAGGGCACCAAGGTTCTCCAAATGTTTATGTGGTATTTGAATCCACGCCAGGTCTTTGATCTCTCTCAGGAAGGGCCAAGAGATGCGTAAGTTCTCGAGCCTTCAATGCTGCAAACCAAAATTCTTTTCTGATCAGGAAAGCAGGAAAAGGTCTAGCTTGGATAGATTAGTAGACTGTGTATGAGGTTTATATATCGAGGTTTTGGTAGCCAGGGGGAGGACTGCAGTGGTGGCTTCTGTGAGAAGAGATCAGGAGCTGCCCCTGTGTCAGACAGAGCCAGTTCCAGATAGCTCCAAGACAGACTCGCTGCTGATCCCAGTGCCTGACCAATCCCTAGTGGCTGAGTATTACAATGGAGTGAGGCTGCCTCCAGATTTCCATACATGACAGCAGCATGCAACTATCTCTGCTTGCTGAGTAACTGACTCGGCTTATCTGAGCAATATTTGAAGCATGGCCCTCTTCCAAGGGAGGGAGGACCTGTCTTTAAAGGACTGATTTTTCACTTATAAGGGTTAAGAGACCATCCTTCTATGGTATTTGAGATAGGGTTGCTTGCTTTACTTTACTTGCTTTACTAATATGTTCAGAGCTACTTTCACAACTTAGGCAGCACAAAAAGGTAGTAATAATGTAAAATAAAATATTTGCCTGTGTACGAATGGTCCAAGTATTTGCTATTCAAGGTATGCAAGCTTTTTTTTTCCTGCAGAAACACCTCCACTGCTGATCCCCTTGTGATGTATAGAAGCTTTAAGGGTAGACAAAGAGTTTTCAGAGCTGTATAATGGAGGGAAAGAAGGATTAGGTCCTCTGGCCACTCAGCTCTCTACATGTGAATGTACCGCCTCCATTAGGAGATACTTCATTATACCTCTCTTTCATGCAACTGAAGGAACAGGTCTTCAATGAGTGCTTTTTTGGCTCTCCTGTTGGTATCTTAGATCAGATATGCAGAGAAAGAACTGTTAGATGTTCTTGCCTTCTGTGATGTTAAAAAAAATAGTTACCAGTTGAAGCAGCTGTTATGTTCTACATGCCTCAGAAATGGTGGCTCAGCAAATCCTGATGAGGGACACAGAATTTTGCTTAAAATCCTCAATATTTATATTTGTTTGCTTTAGGATAAGAGAAAAATGAAAGATTTTGTCATCTCCAGAGGGAACATGAGACTCTGGCCTTTCAGATTCAGCATGGGAACATGCTAAACTGATCAAATACTTTTCAGGAGGTGCTGCCTAACCATGACAGAAGACCCAATTTCACATCCTAGTGGTTTTTTGTGTGTGTGATGATGTGAAGTGAGCTACAGGGCTCAGGTTGGTTTGGGACCAATGCTGCATGTGGCTGCCAGGGCTGATGTCTCCTCACTGCTGAGGCTTTTAGTAACACATAGATTATTTTTTGTTTTTAATTTTTCTTCCTCCACCCACAGCCTTAGTAATGAATATTTGAAAATGCAATAAGCGTTGGTTAAACTGTCACTTGGCAAAATGCATAAAAAGTGCCTGCGTTATTGTTCTGACTTTTTTTTCCATTTTTTTCCCTTTTCCTTCCCCTGGCCAGGCTGGAGCTGTACAGAAAAGTGCCAAACCTGCGGATCCTGGCCTGTGGCGGGGACGGGACGGTAGGTGACCATTGCCTGGCAGCCCTGTGGTCGTCGGCCAAGTGATTAAATTCCTCACAGTTGTGTCATGATGCCTGCAGAGCCAGATAATGGGCCTTAGTGCCTGTGAAATCTACTTTTTTGCTTGTTTGTTTTATTTTCTGTGTGACCTGGCCTGCGTAGTGATGGGGCCAGATCCTAATATCCAAGGTCCTATCTGCTTTATGCATAAAGATTTGGTACCACTTAAAAAAAATTACTAACTTTTCTGGCCTCCTCTCACTATTTACACAGATCTGAAGGTCTAACAAGTTAAGTCAGTGTCTGGGAGCCATTAAATCCTATTTTCTATTCCTTCCTGCTATTGTCTCCATGATGTCCGAGTATAGTCAAATCGGGTCTCCTCTGTGCCTAAAGAAAGTGAGTTTCCCCATGTTCTTTACAAAGAGTCTATGAGGAAGGATATTGCATTGGTCATACTGCTGGCCTGGGATCTGGCAGATCTAGGTTCAGTATTTTTCTTTGCTACTGAATTTCTGTGTGTTCTTGGATAAGTGAATAGGGTCAGATCTTTAAAGGATTTAGGCACCGTCTCTTGGAGACAGGCTCTGCAGTTCAGTCTGGAGGCCATGAGTGGTAATGGAGGTATTCCAACTGCATTACTCTTGCCAGTACTTAGGAATGTTGTAAATCTCAGTCTGTGCCACTGAGTGTTTAAATACAGTTGAAAAACTGACCTTTAATCTCTGGAGCTCAGGTGCCCAAATATGTGTATTTGATAACTGTTATAACAGTAAGCATGGTAAGGAAAATGCATTACTGCTTGCCAGGTGCAATGGCTGGCCAGAATAGATATATGTGGATGTTTAGGGCACAGGGAAGACTATTTTTTTTTTTTTTTTTTTTTTTTTGGGGGGTACTGCGCTGATCCCCTACCCTTAACCCATCTCTGCCAGAATTTATGTTCAGCTTCTTTGGATTCTTTTAAAACCACAGCTGTAGGGGTTATTAACACCAGTGCTATCCCTGGTACCTGGGAAAGTAAGTTATTACTGAATTGTGAACTTTCCTTGAGAAATGTGCAAGACATTGCTTTAGCGAGAGCAATAAGCTGCAAAAGAGTGTTTCAGTCTTATCTGAAAGCCTTTTTCTTCCATCTGAGGAAGCCTATATTCTAATAGGAGAAAAAAATTCATCCTGCAAATACTAAAGTAGAAATATAATGCAACTACATTTGGTCTGATGGTCCTTTGTTTTCCCTTTGAGCAGTGCAAGCGACAGGTGGCAGCACCTTCTCATTAGTATGAGCAGCACTCCACTATTACCTCTGCTGCTGCTCAGTTTGAAGCAAAATTAATATCTAGTTATTCCCAAAGCCATTACATCTAGAAATGAAAAATCTGGCTCAAATGGACTTAATGAATATTCAATGAGGCCAGATGTTACCTTGCATTATTGAGGTGAATCAGAACTTATTGTAACTTTTCCATCATTGCTGCTTGCTCTTCCTTTCCAGGGCATAAGTGGAAAGCTTTGCTTTCAAAGCAGTCAGGAGCTTTCTGTTTACAGGGAGATGATAGACTGTGTCATACCTGATTGTAAAACTAATGTACAAGGTTTAGAAATGACCTCAAATTAAATAGCAGTGCTGTACTTATAGATTAGTAGTTTGAAGTTTCTGTTTATCTGTTAAAAGCAATTACAAAAGTGGTAGGTATTGTAATGTTATCTGTATCAGTGGGAAGCTGAGGCACAGATATATGGATTAGGTCAGTGGTAACGACAGAGGGCTAATGACAAAGGACTCTTTTTAAGAAGTCCTGGCCCAAGTGAAGTTATTTGGACTCTTTATTCTGTCTCCTGTTATCAATGCTGAAGGATAGATATTTTGAAGGGTAGGGGATTACTTACCACTGAAAATCTCCTAAGGACTTTACTTAGTCTTACCATGGTACCTGTGATAGCCCTTCAGTGACACTCAAGTTCATGAGAGTTGTAGGTGATTCAGATGACTGTTGTCAGACAATGAGCTCTAATATGGGATCACTTCCAAGATGAATGCTTTAATAATGAGACAAATGGTTATGATGAATAACTGTCTGATAAATGCTATTTATACAAAATTAAATTTATCTGTCCAGAGACTTGGAGAAAGACATACCCTAGAATACCAAATAGCATTGTAGTTGCTATACTTATCAGGGCACCCCCTCAAGCAGTCCTTCAAATTCCAACTGTTGTTCCCAATGCTCATGTTGTGCTGGGTGCCTTTCGTGAAGCTCCAGTGTCATCCCAGTTTGGGTTAAGAATCTGTTTGAAATCATCATAATATTGGTTGGGGGAGGAAAAATCCTGTCCAGCTGCAGTCAGGATTTCAGTTTTCTGTCTTATTTAAAAGCTCACATTTCCAGAAGATACCACATCTTTGAACTCTGGCACAGGGCTGGGGGGAAACCACAATTTCATCTTATGTTTGTTTTTTTATTAATTCTTTACTTAAAAATACAGCACAGGTTCTTTCACAGATTGTAATTATATATTTTTTTTTTAAAGGTGAGAAATAGTCCTATTTTCTTGTAGCAAGTATTTCAGTCACAAAAAGTTTGATAATGTCTTTGGCAACAATTCTTTCCTGCCTTGGAAATTACTATTTAATGAAAAAAAAATCTACCGTAATTGTTCCTTCTGGCTAGATTTCTATTTGAAAGTTTTATGTAGCCCAGAATAAGGACAGGAGAGAGAAGTGGCTCTCTAAGCTAATAGCTTACGATACAAAAGAGCCAGGTTCATTGTTCCAAACCAAAGGCTTCAACCCTGAGCATTAGAGTTTGTCTTTTATTTTATATATAGATGTGTGTGTGTGTGTATACGTAAGACTAGAATATATCTCTATTATATGTATATATCATGCTTTGCACTGAGTGAAGTAATTCAGCACTGAGGTCTCTTGTCTGGGGGAATGCAAGACCTTTGGGCAAGTCCATGTGTGACTTCATTTGGACCCTCTATTCTAGGACACACTCTGAGATACCATGCTGTTTTAATGTCTCTCTCACATCTTCTTTCATAACAGTTGTCAAAGGTTTAGTTTCCTTTTGCGTAACAGCAATTAAAAAAATTCGTCTTGAATTGTCCATATTATTCTTCACTCATTTTTACATATTGTATTTTAGAGCAATATTTAGGCAGCCTTATAATAGTAGGTGTAATTCTATGTATTTTCATTTTCTGCCTAAAGAACAGCAACTTATGTGCTCTCCTCAGTATCTCTGTGTGCTATTAAAGATAGCCAGTGTTTACATCCCATGGCTTCTTTTTGTACAGGAGCTTCATGAAAATGGCTGTACTTGTTCTCTAAAAGGTGAAACCTCAGATGGGGTGATTGTAGAGTTAAATTTCAGATATCCTCATTTTTCCTTCTTTTTGTTTTACTTGATCCCCTCTGTAAAGGGGACATGATCAAAAAATGTCTTTTTTCCATCCCTTTTAATCTTCCTAACTAACAGTTCTCTGCATTTCGGTTTTGTAGGTGGGCTGGATCCTCTCCATCCTTGATGAGCTGCAACTCAGCCCCCCACCTCCTGTGGCTGTCCTTCCACTTGGCACTGGGAATGACCTTGCCCGCACCCTCAACTGGGGTGGGGTAAGCACTGAGTGGGGTGGGCTCTCAATTTGCTGCTCTGATTTAGTTGTGTAGGGTGGAACTTTGTTTTGGCTAAAATAGCAGGCAGGGTTGTATCCAAGGTCTGCTTCAGTTACGCACAATGGTTTGGTTCAATTACCAGTCTGGGATCTTGAATTACTAACAATGTAGTTGTTGTAATAAAAGTGAACACAGATGTATCTGTCTGGTGTGTCAGGCCAAATAATGAGGAGGATATGCAGGCTTCTAATTTAGGCATAGTTTACACTTTTATTTCTCTGTATTTATCCTTGACTACACCACTGGAGTTATTCCAGGCAAGGCAAATACACTTTGAGTTCCTCTCCTTACGGCCTTACTTTGCCTGCCCCAGACTTGTGTACCTCAGCAATAAAATGCTTGCTATATCAAAATTCAGCAAGATTTTGAGGTGTTCTTAAGAACATTTGATCTGGCATTTTAGGCCTGTGTGAAAGGAGGGAGATCTGCCAGGGAATTGGTGAGTGACTTGCTTTGCTTTCACTGTCCGTGGCTGATACTCTCGTGACACTCTGCTGTCAGGGTTACACAGATGAGCCAGTGTCCAAGATCCTGTGCCATGTAGAAGATGGAACCATTGTCCAGCTGGACCGCTGGAATCTCCAGGTTGAGCGCAACCCTGATTTGCCACAGGATGAGCTGGAGGATGGGGCACGTAAGGTTAGAGCTTTCTTTTTCCCAGGGAGATTATAGCAGCTGGGTTACACCATGAGCTGCATGGGTGGGGAAGCTCTAAAACTTAAATTCTCTCATTGCATCTCTTCCTTTTGCTCTTTTCACGTGTCAGTGCTTTCAGAGGTGTGTGAAACGTAATGCATACCAGCCATTTATTTATTATTTGTAACTCTCAGGCACTTAGTATTTATCTCAAGAACTAAATCCTGGAAAAAAAGAAAATGCCTAGCATTTTATCTGAAAGGTCATTGTTGTTTTTCTCTAGTTAACCTGGGATAGCAGGAGGAGCAACCCTGTGGCTATCATCCATTCCTAAATTAGACAAAACTAAAAACAGGATGCAAAATTTTATTCCTTAGGATTTTGCTAGTGGATACCAACTGTTTCCTACTTTACAGCAAGGTGTAGTGTATTTTTGTATTTCACTTCTTTGTGTGCGGGTGATCCATATACTCTACATTAGCGTATCTTTACAGGTGAAGAATAGGAAATTTTTTATGGGAGGGGATCACATTTATAGTAATACGTAATTTGGACTGGAGCTATTGAAAGTGTTATAGTCATAAAAACACGATTCTGTAAACTGTTTTCCTCTTCTCAGTTATAATTTCCAGCTTATCTATTGGATACTACTGTTCTCTTTCTACAGCCCTGCTGTGTGTATGTAATGATGAAGAGGCCAGATGTGCGCTTCCCTGCCTCATACGTTCTCAATAGAATCAGGGCTTCTTGTTTGAGACATGCATTGCTCCTTGTTATATATGAAGTAGGAAGAACCCAGCTTGAGTTTTGTTCGCCATGCTGAGCTTAAGTGCCAGCAATTAGGAAAAGCTTTGTATTGACATGTTAAGTGGAGCAGCATTATGAAAAATCTCAATGACAACATAAGGAACCCTTTGATGTGTTTGCAAAGATACATATATGATCATAAAGCACCGTAGGTGCATTTGTGTTCTTTGGGCTTTTCTATCTGATCATCTTCCACAAGCTATTACTAACCTTCAAAGCAACCTTCTGCATACATTTCCCTGATGTGTTCCATTTTCTTCTTTGTAGGTTTTCATGAGATGCCAGGTCTAAAGTAGTTAATTCCTGGTGTGTCATGGAATGTTTCATTTGTGTTATGTCTTTTTACATGTCTTTTTATTATCCAATTCCAGCTTCCTCTCAGTGTCTTCAATAATTACTTCAGCCTTGGATTTGATGCACATGTTACACTGGAATTTCATGAATCTAGAGGTAATGGGAATTTTTTATTTCCTAATGGGCAGTAATTTTATGAATTACAAATAGAGTTGGATTTAACACCCTGTTTTATAATTTAGAAGAAAAGCTGGAACATTAAACGCCAATATATGTACAAATAAGAAAGAAGTGGTTGTATCATGAGTTTCCAAGGGACTTCATGATTAAAAATGGAACAAGTATGAGGAAAAATGCCATTCACTGGAGGAAAAGGGCTAAAAGGGGAGATCTTAAATTTTTTTTTATCTTCTAAAGGAGATACCAAGTACAGATATAAAGGAAGTTTATGCTGGTGCAGAAGTGTCAGAGTAAGATCAGAAAGAAAAACAAATATAAGTCAGATGCAAGTATGGAGATGGAGGGAGGAGAAAAGCTGCACGACTGTGGAAGTAGCAGGATAGCAGGAAGATAATTGTGTTTTCAAACAGAACAGCTGTTACCTGTGGATGAGTCTAGTAATATCATTGGACTTGGTACAGACCCAGAGTGTCTCTATGCAAGTGAAAGGCTTTAACATTTGCAAAACTGTCAGGAATTTGAGCTGCCGTAGCATCTTGTTTGTCCTTTTGCTGGTGGCATTTATACCACCCCATACAGACCCAAATATGACTTAGCAGCCAGGCTTTGAACTGGTGAGAACTACTTTATTTATAAGGTTTAGGCAAGCATGCTTGTATAAACGAACCTTGTTCAATTGTCTGTGTTCAGCTTTTGGTCATTTCAGCTTCACATGCAGGTATTTTTTCTGAATCTAGCCTCCCTTATCTTCACTTTCATACTATCAGAGTGTCATTTCAAGATGAAAAGATAGCACTCTAATGCCATGCTAAATAAAGAGCAGGATACATGATGGAATGAGCTAATGCATATTTTATAATGTTTAAGACTGCTTCAAGCTTTAGGAATAATAATGAGGGGCCACAAAAGGGCACAGAAATGAAATGATGACAGCTGTATGCATTTTTTTTATGAATGCATATCATTATGCATTGCTAATGTGACTGTGAATATACTGTATAGATGAAATGCATGGCTACTTTCTCACTTAATGGAGGCATTACTTAATAATGAACTTATGGAGCGCTATAAAGAATGGATGTTATTCCAGAGATGCCAGTGTTTTAAAAATTTACATGGCTGAAAAAACACTTGGCAGAGCAAGCTGTGTGTCTGTGAGTGGGTATGTGGCCAGGCAAGCTTTTCATAGCACAAGTGTCTGCTCTTACAAATCATTACTGCTGGTGTCTTCCTTACCATCTCAAATTTTAAAATATACAAAGTGAGTCCTATGTATTTTAGGAGAGAAAACTTATAGCCTTGGAGGTGTTGCTGGTGTGTGCAGTTCCTGCAGAGGCACAAGAATGACCTGTATTCTGGGAAGCATACGTTATACTGGGAGATTAAAGGAGCTCCATTTAGCTTATCAGAAAGAAGGTTAAGAGGCGATTTAATCACTGCCTATAAGTATTTACTCAAGGAGAGGATATCTGATAGTTGAAGGATCTTTAATCTGACAGAGAAGTATAATAAGATTTAGCAGTTGGCAGTTGAAGTCTGAGAAGTTCAAGATAGGAAAGAAACCCCACGTTTATTTTAAGTGTGAGAATAATTAACCATTAGATGTGCATAACTACTGGACTATTAAAATTCTACATCACTTGGAGTCTAATCAAAATGAAACATCTCTCTAAATAGATTTTAGAGCAACCACTTTTTTTTTTTTTCTGCAGGAATATTTAGGTAGGGAGGTCTATACCTCAGTACCTCTTTGTAACACATCAGAATTTAAAAATGTGTGTTTCATCTTGTAATTTACTAATGCTTTGCTCCTGCTTCAAAGCACGGACCTCTAAAAATTTTTAGAGGTCTGTTCTGTGTTGGTAGAAACAGAAGTCTCACAAACAGTACTGAGGGATCATAAGATGAATAGTCTGAGAGGTGCTAAATTAACTGCATTCTTGTTACATCTTTGCTCATGTTTCCATCTATATATCTATATTCACTCTACATCTTTGCTCATGTTTCCATTTATATTCACTCTATAGGGAAGTGGAAGAATTCAATATCAATGTTTGAAATCTGATATCAGATAATGGCACAGATGGGGGACTCTCACACAGTGTTAATATTTTCACTGAGTGATGTTTGCTAAAAGCACTATAGTGCTAGCAGGGAATGTGAAGGTAAAATAGAGTCTACTTAATTTATTGTTATTCACATTTTTCCTTTTTATCCTTTCACAGAAGCAAATCCAGAGAAATTCAACAGCCGATTTAGAAATAAAATGTTTTATGCGGGGGTAAGTTGTGATTTGTCTTACAGAATGATGATAACTTAGTTGTTTGAATGTTTTCTTAAGTACCTTCCCCATCACTTTCTCACATTAGGAGCTCATACCTGTTCATTTTGCCTGTTGCAATTTAGAGTGCACATGTGCTGTTTCTGGCAGTGCCACGCTCCTGTGTCTGTCGGAAAGTGCCTGAAGCACTAGTGTTTTACAGAGCTTAGCAAGTGAGAGAAATGCTACTGCTTCAGACATAGTACTGGTCATGTCTTGATAACCCTGCTTCTGGCTCATAAGCTTCTCAACAAACTCGTCTGCTTCTTTCAGAGTTTGGGAAGCACGTTGATACTGACATTCCTGGAGAAATTCTGCAAGTGTTGGCCTGTATCTTTGTAGCTTTGAGGATTAGTCTTGGATGAAGGGCCATGGGGAGTGGAGGGCAGAGATCAGCTATATGGAGCGATTAATTTTCATGTGTGAATATGCAAATCAAATTACTCACTTCTGCATTCAGGAGGTACATGGTCAACACTTTATTCTAGAATGCAATTATTAAGAGAGAAACACTAATTTGATAATGCATGACATATAATGTCTTTCTGGATGATGACTCCCACCATACACATGTGCCTTGAATATGGAAACATGTGTGAGGAAAAATTTGCATTTAAATCCTTGGGTGCCCAAGGACCTTCTTTGGTTAACCTCTCAAAAAGAAAAGTATCATAACAAAAACAAAAAAAATCATATCTTCTGAGAGCAAGAAAGAATAGGTTTGACAAAAAGATGGCATTTTGGTAACTAACTCTGTAGTGGGATAAGAAACGAGGAAAGAGAAGAGAGGAAGTGCTGATGACAATTCCTACACTTATTTCTGTTGCAGGCAGCCTTTACAGACTTCCTGCAAAGAAGTTCAAGAGATTTATCCAAGCATGTTAAAGTTGTGGTAAGTATAAGGAATTGTGTCATAGTATTGTGGGAAGAGGGAGGAATGGAGAGAGAGCGAGGTGAGAGTTTAATGGCTCTGTTACTTTTCAGTTTTGAGCATGACATTTGCAACACATTCCAAGGAAAGTCTTGGGAAAGTTGTAAAGCAGCAACACTTCTCTTGTCTGTGGCTCCATTCAGCAATTTCTCTGTGCTCTGTCACTTTGGCTTTGTAGTGTGATGGTACAGACCTGACTCCAAAGATCCAGGAGCTGAAGTTCCAGTGTATAGTGTTTTTAAACATACCCAGGTAAGCTCAAGACAGATGCTTGGAGTTATAAAAGAAAAATCATAATAATTAACAAAGATACTTACAAGTTGACCTAGACTGTGTGAATTGGGTGCACAGGAAGTGCCTTGCCATTGCGCTTTCTTCTTGAGAGCTAGATGCTTATAATACTGCTAATTAGCAATATGGAATGGGATCACAGCTCAGGGTGCAGCTAAACCATCCTTTAAAAAGTTGAATATCCTGATATAGAGACAGTAGAAATTATTAACAAACACATTTTCAGAAGTTGTGCACCTGACTTGCAAACAAGATAGTAAAGGCACAGATCCCTGGTCTTTTGCTTAATTAGAAGCAGACTGTGAAAATAGAGGAGGGGGGGAAGCAGGGGAGAGGGGAAAGTATGGATATTTTTCAGGTAATGGAACATCAAAACATTGAAAGAAGTGCTGTTTTTTAACATGTTAGAGGGTGTCCCAAATAGGAATCTCCTGTATTTAAAAGTTATTCCCTGCTCTCTACAACATTTTTTTTTTTATTGTGTATGCCTATCAGTGAAAAAGTTTTGAGACTACCCCAATATGTGTATATTTATTTATAAATTATATATATGTACTACTGTAGTAATATATTAATGTTATAAAATGCAAAAATAGAAATTAAGAAAGGATGTGACAAAGATGAAACAAACACTATTTTAATGTTTGTTTTCTTATTTATTAAAAGTATAAACAATGTGGTTTTTTAACACACCTAAATTGTCTTGTCAATCATAGATTATCTTACACACTCCTTGTGGTGCATGGACCCCACTTTGGAGACAACTCTTTAGATGACCTGCCACTTTTCTCTACACGCAGTCACAAGCACTTCATGTTTTGAGTCCTGCACTGCCCTCACTGAAAACTTTGACTTGGTGTCACCTCTCCAGAGTTCCGCCTTCTATCACTCTTAGATCATTTTTACGTCCATTCTTTAATGATACGGAAGGTAGATGCCACAGCTGCATCTATTCCTGCTTCTTATTTCTCCCTGCCGCCTCAAGCTATGCGATGTTTTGCATTCCTTGGGCTGTTAAAGCTGCTGAGCTGGCAGGGAGAGAGGAAGTGGAGCTCCAAGGCTGGAGTTGCTGCTGCAGTCCCATGCCTGCCTAGCAGAGGGGCTAAGCAGCTTTCTGGCTCAACAGCTCATCTGCAGGAACGCAAAGCCAGTGGTGAAAACAAAGCACTGCTGCACTGTTTCCTGGTGTTTCCTCATTTTCCTCTTAGAAAGCAACCTGGTAAAGATTATGATGGATACATTTATGGATGTTGTACCAGCTGGGAAATGGTTTTCTCTTTTGTCCAGTCCTTGTCAGCATAACTTTTAATTGTCCCTGAATTGAATCCTGGAATGGATATCTGGATACTTCTGGAGGACAGCAGAACAGGCTACTAGTCGCGACTCATCGGGGGAAATTCCGTTCTCAAAGCTTGCTTTCCAAACATCTTTCCGTAGGTATTGTGCTGGCACAATGCCCTGGGGAAACCCTGGAGATCACAGAGATTTTGAGCCTCAGCGCCATGACGATGGCTACATAGAAGTCATTGGGTTCACCATGGCCTCACTGGTGAGTATATTGCAGGTGCTGCCAGACTTGGTGAATTCTGTGGGCAATGGTACAGAGTGCAAGGTTGTCCTCATTACTGAGGAACCACCATGTTTCCACATATTCTGCTAAGGCCAAAACATGCTTTGCTGTTAAACGAGGCAGACAAATTGTAGTTTTCTAATAAAAATATATTATTTGCAAAATATGGCTAATTTGCATGTGCAGTGCTCCCGAGTTAAACAGTACCGTTATTACAATAAGAACAGCATGCAGGCATGTTTTTATTGTGGGAATGTTCTATGATCAAATAATTACTGCTATTTCTTTAAGGTTTTGAAGATTTCAGTCTGTGGCATAAAAGTTCAAAATTTTTTGTGAAACTAGTTACTGGAAACAAATGTGAAATATTACATAAAATTATATGTCCATTCTGTTTCCATATGCCCACTAAGAATGTTGTGAAAATCTAGTAATAGCTGTGGAAAACTTAGTAATATTGCTGGCACAAGTGTTATCTTTCCTTTTGTTCTGCTAGAGAAAGAAAATTCAACCAACAATTTTAGTTTGTCAGTGCACTTTCTGTCAATGCTGTCCCTAAAGTGCACTAAAGCTGAGTTACTGTAAAATCAGTCTCACTGTAAATACACCAGTGTCCTGCTATCACAGTGGTCAAACATAGTGATAATCTCTTCAGAGGATGATTAAACGCCACCAGAGAGTTGCTAGTTATCCCCTTGCTAGCACTGATCTACCTAAGGTACTGCGGCTTGTACTTAGTGTGGCCAACAGAAAGCACATATCTGGGCTTCCTGACAGGTTTATACAGATCATGCTGAACTCCATATTCTTAGGCATCCCTGCTATGTCTTGTGTGGACTAGATTAAAACTAACATGGATAAGCCTGTTTTCACTAAACTCACACAATTGTTTGTTGTGTGACCTGCCCTTAGTGCATATCACTTCCAGTGATTTTTCAAAGAGAAATTAAAAAAAATCTAATTTTCAAAGCAAGCAAAAGTAAATAGCGGTCTTCTTCCGTAATCAGTTCTTTAGAAGTCTGTCTGGGTTAAGGATTCTTTTTTGGCCTTTTTTTTTCCTTTTTTTTTTTTTTTTTTTTTTGCATGGTCTAGTGGATTAGGGAAGTAACACCCAAGTAAGAAAAATTTTGTTTGTTAGCCTAGTAGCTCTTGTGGAATAAATCTTTGTTACTTCACCCCTCAAGATTTTAGCATATATTTTTTGAAGGTGCTGTCAAAATTTTCAGTTGGAAGTTTTTTTGTGTTTGCCACTTGCAGTGGCTAGAGTGATCTCAAAATTTATCAACAATTTTAGTTGTGAGTGAGTTTAAGAAGTAGGGTCCTTTGAGCTGCTATTTCTCTTTAAAAGAAGCCTAGTTCAGAATTGAGGGTCTACAAGTCTGCATTGGTCCTGTTGCTGAGGAACCATTGTAATACTGGACTGTACTGTTATAATTCTAGCTTGCTGCGTATATCTCCCAGATGTGCTTGGTCATACCCAAGAAGGTCTGTGAGACCAAGGAAGAGAAGTAGTTTATAAGAAGTATTATTATTATTATTATTGATCATATTAACAGTTGATCCATGATATTAAGTGCACAAAGCAGGATTAAGGTCTTGACTTGTGTTTAGACTCTTCATTGTTAGTAGTACATTAATATGGTTTTTATTTTCTGCATCTGATAGTTGAGATTAATAGTCACATAATAGTCGTACTAATTAAAAAAATACATTTTTGCCCAAACATGTCTTCCTAGAACTTGAAGGATCTGCTCATTGCCCTCCTTGTTTCATTTATTTGAAATGAATTCTTGAACAAGGTATTTAATTGTTTTCAACAAGATCCTTCTGCTTGCTCTTCTCAGCCTGTCTAGTCTTGAGGTTGAGTAAGCTTTCATAATAAGGATTTTAAATTTATCCAGTTCTCATTAAGGGCTGTATTCTGTTCAGCAACTAACTAGCAGCATCACTGTTAGTGTAAAAACAAACCAACTGACCAAAACAAATTGAAACCTTTTAAGAATGAACACAGGTATACATTTGTGCATGCGTGTGTGTATACATATTTGCGCGCGTGTGTGTAATGTGCTTGACATATGCCAAGGTAATGAGACGTGCGATGCACGTGGCTAGATATCTGCTTGTTTCTCACCACTTTTCTTTGTGAAATTTTAAGTCCTGCTTTGCAATTTTTGAGTAAAAATAGATTCATTGTGCTTTGTTAAATGCCTTACACATGAAACACTGTGTAATGGATGCTGTCGGCAAAACTGCATTTCAGATTTAACTGCCTTAACTATCTGTTCTGATGTGTCTTTTCTTTCTCTTTCCTGTTTGATTTTTTGCTTGTTTGTTTGTTTGCAGGCTGCTCTCCAGGTGGGTGGTCATGGAGAGAGGTTGCATCAGTGCCGTGAGGTGACACTTTTAACATACAAGTCTATCCCCATGCAAGTGGATGGTGAACCATGTCGACTGGCTCCTTCACTCATTCGGATCTCCTTAAGGAACCAGGCCAACATGGTGCAGAAGAGCAAGAGGAGAACATCTATGCCTTTGCTAAATGAGTGAGTTGGATATGTGCATGTCCTAATGACAGGAGGCCCACCTGGCAGCATATTCAGTCGTGGATTTTGCATGTACTGGACTTTCAGCGCATTTAAAAAAAAAAAACAAAACCAAAAAACCAACCCACAAACAACACCTTCTTGAACTCCTTTTCCCTCGTATTGTAAATACTTATCTGATTTTCTTTTATTCTTTTACCTTCTGGGTTACCCTCTGTTGTGCTTTAAGAAAGCTGTTGTATCTTTCAGTTGTTTAGAGAGGTTTGTGCAGGCTCAATATGTATGCCATTTGCATTTCAAGTTCTTTTGACGCATTTTCTCAACTTTATTGATCTGCTTTTTAAGCTCCATTGGAGACCCTGTAACAAATTGCCACAACCAAGAATTACTCAGGATATCTTGTAGTCTCTGTTGTGGGAGCATGCTGCCTAGCACTGTTTATGGAGAAGGACCTGAAATTCCAGAAAGGGCTGTTTGCACTTTATAGTATGAAAACCCAAATGAGAAATGAGTATTGTAAAGATGAATAGAGAACAGCTAAGATAACTGGAAACCAGGAACATGTGAAGAAAAAACCAGACAGGACTAACATTCCTTTTCATGATTAAACCTTATTTGTAAGCACTGCAGAGTTATTTTAATGGAAACCCCCTAGATACTCAAAATTTCCTCCTGTGAAAATAGCCATACAATAAAATGATTTAGATTACTTTATAGAGCTGATTATTGTACCTTTTATATAGGTCTTTACTGATGCTAAAATGAGCAACATAGTAAATGCCTTTGCTATTTTTCATCAAGTATTCTCAAAGTGAAGCAAAACAGTCTGACCCTTATACAAAGATGCTGAGCTGAAGGCCTGAAGTTACCAAGGATCCACATTTCATTCAAACATCCATGCACTGAGGTTTTAATTTTTCATAGGAGGTGGGGGATTTTGCTGTTGCAGCTGTAATGGTGAGGCAAGGTTTATGAAGAGGTGTAATATCTTTCATTAGATTAACTTATATAACTGGCAAAACTAGACAAGCTCTCAGGCACACCTTTTCTCTTCAGGTATCTTGAAGATTGTCTGTGTCTTTCAACTGTATCATCTAGTGGAAGATATTGCTTCACTTCAAACTTTGACTCCAACCCTTTAGAGCTTCTTGTCATCCACTGGTTGTCAATCTGTTCATGTAATCAAAGCCTCCCTGGTTACTTTCAACATCTTCCTGTTCAATTTAGTGCTCTGTGTTCTTGTACTGAGACTAAAATGCTTTAAGTTTCAGTAGAAGCCTGTATCTATAATGTGCAATTCCTATTTGCCTGGAAAATACATAAGGTATACTTCTCTCTCTTGAGCAGTGAGGAATAGCAGATGCTTGCCTGTGGGCACCGATGCCCGATTTTGTCCAGCCACAATTACTCAATCATTTGCGAAAGCTGGAATCATGCAGAGAGCAATCTTGAGGCATCTTTTTCTGCACTAAGGGAGACTAATGCAAATGTAAAAAAAACAAAAAAACAAAAAACAAACAAAAAACCCACACAAAAAAACCCCAAAACAAAACAAAACCAAACCAAAAAAAACCCAAACCAAACAAAACTCCTGGTGTTTCAGTCTAATTATCATGGTTGGGTTTGGATTTTGAGATCTGAATTTAACCTGTGGTAGAGAAATACAGATTCATAGTATATACCAGTTGTCAAGAGGATATTCTTTTGGTTTAGCTTGATTCAAATGTGCTATGGTAGACTATGTTGCTGTTGGAGTCCTTTGATTTGGCTGAGGTATTTGTCTGCAGACCTGTGTTTTGGGGAAAATACAAATGATCTGTCAGGAACTCTATTCTCATCTTCACATATCAAAAATGGTGTGTGTATATATTTATATCTACAAATATATATTTTTATATATATATATAAAAACCTCTATGTGTGTATGTACTTTGCTCTCAAGTGTTGGAGAGGGATTACATAGAGGAATGGAATCTCCTGGCATGATAAAAGTAAATTACATGTTAAAGTGGCATGTTAAAGGTTAAACTCTGGGAAGCGTTTTGGTATTGTTAGAAGCTCTTTCAATATGATGCTGATTTGCAGTATTTCACAAGAGAGAAAATTTTCAATTAAATGTTTATCTACATTTCTTAACTTGCTATCTGGAATATATCTCCCTATTCCATTGAAATCTCCCAGAAAGCCTTATATTTGATTGAACATGATAGATTGTTCTCTTATGACTGTCATCTGAATGTTAGATGTGTGAGATAAGTAAGTGGGTCTGGAGCTATTCCTAATTGTTAGACAGCTGTTCTTGAGCTCCTTGCCAGGGAAGTGATTAAAAATTTATCTTGCATCACAGTAATGCAGAGTTGCTATTATTGTCAGCTTTGATGATATTGCTAGATAAGGAGAGCAGTAGAAATGCTCTTTGGAGTTTCAGCTAGTCCACTGTCATAAGTAGAAAAAGACTTAATTTGAAGAAGTCTTACACTGTGTTTCTGTTTGTTTGTTTGTTTGTTTTTTTATCCTGTTCTTCATTTTTCTGAAAGTTTTAAGGAGAGGGGGTTTAGAGAGGATAGCGACTTTGTTGTTTGCCTTATGGATGCACCTGGGTTTCCAGGCAATAATAGTATTTTAAAATTGAAGAAACCATATGTAATGTAGCTGAGTGAGAAGAACAGAGATTTTATGCTTCTCTCATGTGGGAGTGAGAGGGCTTTAGAAACATGGTTCTCCTCTGGCTGTAAGAGTTGCTCACTTTCCTGGTTGCAACTGTTTTCTTTCAAAACCTGTAGACGCTCTGAGAGCACACTTCTATATGAGACAAAGGGATCTGACGTTTTTTTTGACCTGTTTTTTCCCCTCCATTTTCCCACTGTTGTGCTTCCAGCACCTTCTGGTTGCACTCATGTGGTTCTAATTGCACTGCCTCATGTGGTTCTACACAGACCTTCAAGGTAGAAACTCCCTATATGTTGAGAGTCCTTGCTTTATCTGTTACGGAAAAATTTGCCTTTTTCAAGGTGTGGGGAAAATTCAGCAGCACTTCTGTCAATGTAGAAGTTCCTAGTGTTTTCTAGTCTTTTAATAAATGAAAAAAATATGGTTGGCCATGGAATTAAATTAAGGAACAAAAATCTAGTGTTTCTGTGGGGCTACTTGAACTGAAGGACCCTCCCTTCCCTGTTGACAGCAGCAGCATGAAAACCTTTGTCCAAGCTGTTAGAGAACAAGTAAATATAATGTGCTGCATTTTGTCATAACTGGGCAAATTACTGGCAATTAATATTTTATTGAATTATTTAATATTTCACTTCTGAATTGCCTACAAACAAAATTTCTCAGTATATTAATTATCCCATATTATTCATTAACTAGTTGCTGCAACTAGTGTTCTCTCTTCTTACTGTTCATCAAGCATTCATTTTTTTTTTTTTTTTAATATTTCCTTTTGGAAAGTTAAGCTGTTTTGATGTGACATAATCATTATATGAGTACTTTTGAGTAGGTGAAGATGTCCTGTTTATGGTCACCTTAAGTTTGTACTCTTCTGATAACTAAAATCTTGAGTTGAAGCATAGTGGAGGAAAGTTGTTACTTGGTGAATACAGTTACAGTGCTTCTAATTTGTTTCTAACAGAGGCTGTCCAAATGTAAAAGGCAGGCATTTCTTCCTCATCCTACAATGCATTGCTCTACAATGAAGATAAGTAATAATCCAATAAAGTCTTTCAAGCCAGAAGCAGCTTTTTAGGTACAAAGAATACACAGGATAATGTGATGCTGTTCATGCTTGGTTATGGATTGAAACAAGGCAGATAGTGGGGTTGTGGGGAAAAAAATGTGGTTTTCTCCTTTCATATATCTCTTCTGTTTGTACCAGCAAAAGCAAATTTTTGCTGCAGCCAGATCAGCAGACTCAGTTTTTCTGCAAAAGAGTGAATTTTGTTCTTGTGAATTATCTTCTCCTTCCCTTAAAAGATTTGCTGGCTAAGTTCTCATTCCTATTTTCTGCTATTGATTATGGTAACTTGTGAAAGAGACAATGTGTAGCTTGGCTTTCTGTAATTAAGCCAAGAATGTGGTTCTTACGAGCTATAAGCAAAATGTATGTGTAATAAGAGAAGCGGTGGTTCAATTTTTCCAAGAGTGATTTTTCTGGTTACAAACTACAGTTTAGTATGCTGCTCAGTAAGTTTCAGTCAATGACCACTTTCTGAACCTCAAAAGATGATATTTTGCTTTCACTATCTTTTAGTTTGGGTTAAGGAACAATGCATAATGGAGCAGAAAGAAAAGGGAAGAGCTTGTAGATAAAACATATTCCATCCACTCAAAAGAAACAGAGGGACTGTTTGAGTATTAACACTAAAAGAGAGTCAGTCTTGGGAGTCACTATATATAAAATGCATGTTTCCCTAAGGTACATGAAAGAAGAATGGAGACAGCAATTTGTCATTGTGGATACAAAATCTCCAGTAAGGGTATTTTTTTTTTTTCCTTGAACGTTAACTGAAGTTGGCCAACCTTTGGAGACAATTCCATCCATTCAGATCTTGGCTTTGACGTTTGTTTGCATTTTTGGACCTGCTTCCAAAGTCTGTTGCCTTGAAATTTTTCAGTGCCTGTGGAACAAATCCTGGGGCTCCTTGTCCTCTTTGTATAGCTTTGTGCCTAGCTTGTCATTGGTCCTCCTCACTCATGTCTTTGGAAAGCTCCTGTGTGCCATGTAGCAGTGATTTTTCTCCATGTGCATGTCTTCTGTTGCTCTTGGCTTCCTAGTGTGAACTTGGAGCTCTGCATGTCACTTCATTCAACTTTTATGTGACAACATTCCTTTTGTTTCTGTTTAAATGTTGTATGTCTCTCTCTTTCTTTCTTCTCCACTCTCTCTCTCTCTCTTTCTTCCCCACCCCCTGCGTTTTTCCTTGTCTGTCCACACTGTGTGCTGCCTTTCTCCTGGCCACTCATTTCCTGCTGGTTATAGTATCCATAAAGTGCAGTCTGCTGACCTGAGGAGAGTCTCGGCTCCCCCCGATTCCTTCACCATGTGAGTATCTGGCTTTTTTCTATTTTTCAAAGCTCCATAGTTTTTTGCTGTTACCCTATGTGTCATTTAACCAGGAGATGGGGCAGTAAAATCCAGTGACAAATGGGAAGCAGGAGGTCAGGTGACAGCATGGCATGCACAGGGCAGTGGCCTCACCAGCAAAGGTGCAGTTCTACAGTACCAGAGTAAGGTGAGCAGAGCGCAGAGCATGTCTGGTGATGGTGACCAGGTTCAGCCAAGAATCCAGCTTGCCAGATAAATCCATAGCAACAGGCAGATCTGAAGTTAAGTGCCAGGTACCATCCCTGGAAACAGTTGAGATGAGAGCCTTCCATCATTTGATTTTAATCAAAAACATACTGTGGACAAACTCGACCATAAGCCCTATCTCCAGATAGAGCTGATCAAACCAGGAAACTAGTCCCCTAGAAGAGTGGTGTGATGTTGGCTGCAGCTGCATTGACGATGGAGACACCTCCCCCCATCTTGGCAATATCTTGATTGTCAGTAACCCCACCGTACTAACTTGCTAGAGAGTAGCTAAATTATTCAAGATCCCTATGTATTTTTAAAAATGTGGTGAATTTGCCCTTAAAAACACTTGTACCATTGTATGTTGGTATCTTCTAATTCATCCCATTTGTGGAAACATGTCATGTTATGAAAACCTGTGTGTATCCACAATTAAAAACAAACAAAAAACCTAACCACCCCCTAAGCATCCCAACCAACCCCACTCCTCCAAACCCAGATGAAAACCCAGCTTAATATAATGTCAACTCAAGCAGTATAGTTTGTCTTCACAAATGCTTTTTGACTATTCAGTCAAAAAAGACATGTTTTGTTTTGTGTTGGCATCCGTTTTGTCGTCTTGCTTTGCCACCTTTATGATGGGCATCTTTTCAAACAGGTTAGGACTGTCAAAGAAATGAATTTGAAATACATGTTGGAAAATAACAAATTTCAGAGTTATAAACCCAGGTATTCAGAGCAGAAACTTGATTCCAAGAATGATTCTTATTATATCGTAGAAGAAAGTCAATGATACACGCTTAAAGAAAACCCACCAACACTTTGTTCTAAAGACTGAGCACATGCAATAGGTGGCGCATAAATGTTCAATAAACCAAGAGTTATTTGGGAAAACTGATTGAATAAGAGCAAATTTCAGCTTTGCAGCAGAGGACCTGGGGGTCCTGGTAGACACCTGGTTGATTGTGAGCCAGCGATGAGCACTTGTGGCAAAGAAGGCTAATGGTGTCCTGGGTTGCATTAGGAGTGTTGTCAGCAGATCAAGGGAGGTGATCCTTACCCTTTAGTAAGCACTGGTGAGGCTACAGCTGGAGTACCAGGTCCAGTTCTGGGCTCCCCAGTATGAGAGACATGGAGCTACTGGAAAGAGTCCAGTGAAGGGTGATAAAGATGAATAAGGTGAATCATTTCTGTGAGGAAAGGCTGAGAGCTGGGACTGTTTAGTCTGGAGAAGGCTCAAGTTGGATTTCATCAATTTCTATAGGTATCTCAAGGAAGGGCATAAAGAAGAGCGAGCCAGGCTCTTTTCAGTGGTGCCCAGTGGCAGAACAAGAGGCAATGGGCACAAACTGAAACACAGAAGGTTCTCTCTGAACATCAGGAAAAATGGTTTTACTGTAAGGATGACTGAGCACTGGCACAGGTTGCCCAAGAGAGGCTGTGGAATCTCCATCCTTAGAGATATTCAAAAGCTGCCTGGACATGATCCTAGGCAGCCTCTTCTAGGTGGCCCTGCTTGAGTAGGGGGTTGCAACAGATGACCTCCAGAGCTCTTTTCCAACCTCAACCATTCTGTGATTCTGTGAAACTTCAGAAAGCTGTAAGTTCCTCTTGTTACTTTGTAAACAGGGAAAGGTTTCCAATTCAGTGTGCTTTATCCCTGGATCATGTTTGCTGTGCTATGCTGAGGAACAGAAAGTCATAAAAACAACTTGTCTCACTGATTCAGTAGCTAAGCAAGCCTCTAGAAATGAGTTGAGATAAGCTTTATTGCTTACACAGAACATTAAGCTGGGGGCCTGGGAGAATGGGTATTGTTTCCAAGTTGAGGGATATCCCTTGGAAAATGACCTCCAAGTTTTGATACATTTCATTTGAATGTCCCATTTGATATCAGCTGTCAGGATAAGGCAGGGAGAGAGAGACTCATGAGCCCCAAACTAATTTGTAAGTCAAAGATGGTTTGTATCTTAAAATCTGTAAAAATAGATTAAACATGCTGCTGCACTGTGGTTGCCAATTAATGTGCCTGGCAAATTAAAATAAGAACCCATGAGGTATTAGGGAAATTTGATTCGGATTATGATGGCTTTGAGATTCAGATGTTCCTTTTTTATGTTGAACAATATAGAAAGAGCCTGAGTTCCAGTTAGTGCTGAACAGCAGGGCAGATTCTGCTGAGACCTGGTGATGGATACAGCTTGTCTTACATAAATTTCAGGTTTTCTGCAGCAAGATATGCATGGGAGTTTGGGGCAGCCAAAATTATTAGGCATAGACAGCAGAGACGGTAGAACTGTAGTGTGATCCATTTCAAATGTTTATACAAGGTGCATAAGTAAGTACAAGTGATGTATTATTAATTGAGGCTCTTTCAGAAGGAAGGTAAAGACTTGCATTTTCCATCTGGATGTTCAGAGATGAGAAGGATGCACGTGTGAGAGTACATTTGCGTTGTGTGGTTGATGCAAAGTAGTTCTGAAAATAAATTACCATTTGAAAAATAAAACATAACTGACTTGCATAGCTTCTACCATCCTTTTACAGGTGGAATAGGTGCTGTGGGTATGCTGCGATTATTTTATTTTAATTTAAAAATCTGCATAATGAAAATACAGTATCACTTCATTGGTAAATACTTAGTACTCTTAGAGAGTTTACGGATTAATGATTGCAGCAGAGTATGCATATAAATTCTGTGTGAATAGCAAAGGAGTAATAGGAAACAATTTTTTTCTTTACGAGATCCAAATTTGCTTTCTTGGGTTGAATATCACAGAACCACTGAATGTTAGCAGTTGGAAGGGACCTTGAAAGATCATCTAGTCCACCCCCCCTGCCACAGCAGGAACCACCCAGAGTAGGTCACACAGGAACGTGTCCAGGTGGGTTTTGAATGTCTCCAGAGAAGGAGACTCCACAACCTCTCTGGGCAGCCTGTTCCAGTGCT